GCCTCTTCAGCTCTTGGCAAGCAGAAGGTTCCCCACTCCTGCTGAAAAATGTGGCAATGCTATATCCTGTTCTCTATGTATTATGTGATATTGATTGCAATGTAGTGTAGCAGTTAAGATTTATAAGGGCAAGAAGAATAAAGAGTAAAAAAAGCATGCTCTGCGAATATTAAGTTGATGGCATTTTTGGATTCCAGAAAAAGCTTAGCCTTGTATATTCCAAAATAAGATCAAGAGTGATGTCATTTACTTAGGCAGAGAGCTTAAAGCTGAGCCACAATGTCATCAGATAGAGCTACATGCAGATACAGGTTTTCTCAAAACACTAATGTGGTTCTGATCAAAAATTCTGCCTCAAGTTTGCTTCTAAATGAAGCTTTTTTAAAAGCAGGGGAGAAAAGCCAATTCTGTTATTCTGTTATCTTACTGTGCAATTTTAATGTAACTAAGTTGTTCAGAACAGCAAAATATTTGGATAATATATCTTTTCCCATTTGCACAAACGCTGGCAGTGACGCATAACAAATTGACAGTCCAGGCTGTGTACAAATCAAGAGCTTGTAGAGATGCTCTGGAACTCAAACAGTCCAACTGAACCTGCATCAATATATCGAAGCAGTCTTTTTCAATTATAAGAACTGAAATCCCAAGTCTTAACAAGTAAAACTGAAATCCCAAGTCTTAACAAGTGAAATTCTTTTAGACACCAGCCATTCATTCTCATGTATACCAAGCCTTAGAGGGAAAATATTAATCAAATCCAGTTGCTGTCTGATGCAGACTATACTATAGTATAGTCTCCAATATTTTTTCAGACGTTTTTTAATTGCCCTTAGCAAATGAGCTCCACCAATTTCAGAATTACTTCCCAAATTTAGTAGGCATCAATTTCAGCAATCCTCCTAAACCTAACATCATTTCATTTTATTTCGTTCTTGATTTCATCACTTCTGTTTAGAGCACTCCAAGGTATTTTTTTTCAATATTATCTTTGAAGGTTGACTTTGACCTGTTGGTTCTGGGGCAGCAAGTGAAGTATCAAAAGAACAAAATGAAATTTTGAGAATTATAGGAGAATAAGCAATACCAGATAAACATTTATTCAAACATTTGTGATCAGGACTGAATACTTCCAACTGGGAAATGCCCTCAGCTACAAGCACCTTGTAAAATACAGCCTGAGTGATACTATTGCTCTTGGAATAATAACCATCTGAATTTGGATGCCTGATTCACCAATATATTCATAAATCTGGGTTTGGGTGTCTGAAAAAGAGTGTTATTCAGCCAACTCTTCTGATAACCAGGATTCTCATACTAATATTGCAAAAGAATGAAAAGCAAGACATGAAATGTCACATTCACAGGCAATATTTGGCTGTTCAGACAACCTCTCTTCCCATCAGCTCTCTTCTCCCTGCTTTCAGCAGGAAGATATCCACTGAGCCATTATTTTTCTTTTTACAGTTTATGTTATTAATGTTTGTGCATGGCAAATAAATCTGCAGAATTCAAGAAGTGTTTCACAACCCCAAACAAAGAGCCTTAAACAGATCACAGTTCTGCTGCAGAAAATGCTACTCAGCTTGTGCTAGCTGTCAATATTTTTGACAGTCTGGATTTTGAAATATGTTAGTTAACAGAATCCTTGGTGGGCAGAGGAACTGACTTGCAGGCAGCTGACTTAAACAAAGGCAATTTGGAATTAAATTCTCATTCAGTAAGCTGGCTGACCATCATTTGTATTTTACTGATTGTTTGTTTTTGAAAGCTTTGCAAATGCTAAGACAGTGTGTGAAATGCTAACGGTGCTTTGATGTTTCCTGGCCCAAGCACCAGCCTTCCATCTTTTTTACAGTGAAATTTTATCCAACAGGAAAGTAGCTCATTGGATTAATGTAGTATCTTGTCAAGTGCAGGGAAGCCAGTTGTAAATCTTGTGGAGGAAAGACAAAATAAAAAATAAGAAAGAGAGGATGAAAAAAAATGTATTTCAACATTTCTCCCTCAAAGAACAAATATATAAAATTAAGCAAATCCAACCAGCAGAGTTAACACTTCCAAGTAATGGGCAAAATTTGTCCTCTAGCAAAGTTATTCTGAGGAGCATTAGCAACATAATAAATGAAGCCTCTTTCTAAGAATTATGCGTATCGTAATGCATATTACAAGGCTTTATACAAATGCACAGAAAAGCAGATGGGTTCAAGAAAGCTTACTGAAAGTGAGGTCTACTTGCTGCAAGTACACACCTGCACTCCAGAAACAGTGCTGCCCCGATACTCAACCACAGCAGCCACAAAAGAACGAATTCTGTAGTAACATATGACATAATGAGGCTAAAGTCTTAATTTATGGTGTTAGAATTGCCACAAAATACACTGAAGAATCCCACACATTTTTTAATCTCATTTTAATTGCTCGAGAGATAGCTGTTGTAAATCCACATGAATTACCGAATGACTACACTCATTTCTCAATTGTGCATTGAAAGGTTCTCAAGAATTTTATCAAGCCAACAAAATATTTTAGTATAGGTCACTCTCCTGAAAAATATCTTTTTCCATTTAATTCTACTCTTCAGAATACTATTATCTCCCTGTATAATGCAGTAATTCTAATGGTGTTCTCAGGTTCTTTTCATACAGGCAGGTCCCCAACTGCTTTGGGGTTTTTGTTTGTAGTCCAAACAGATGCTAAGTGGTTGCTTGAGGAATGTTTGGTTAGAGATTTTTAAAGTAAAGTATCTATTTGCTCAAAGCTTGGGGATCAGGGAGGGCTTTGAATATACAGAGAGAGTTACTACAGCCCGAAATTCAGAGTGAAGTTAGATTTAGGGAGTTTGTTCAGATCTATCTTTGCTTATTATTTTGAAGCATGTTTATGTGGATAGATGTTCTGAACTAGACACCACAGAGCACATAAAATTACAGATTGTTAATCAGGGGAATTTTATTATCTGTCCTCTTTGGAAGTGCTGTAAATGAGACAAATATTTCTGCATTTTCATAAGGCATTAAAATTGATTTCCATTTTAACTGTTGGGCACTGCAATTGCAAATAAACTAGCCTGTCTATACAAATGACAGTGCTTTCTAATACTTGCTTTTCTTCTTGCAAACTTCTCATAAACAAGCAGTAAAATGATCTCTGTTCTAACTCCGTGGCTTTTCACAGCTTGTACACCTGCACCACTGGCTTACAGTACCTTGCCAGCAAAATACAATGCATCACTTCCAACTGCCAGCAGTCACAAACTCAGTGTTCTCATCACCTTTCAAAGAGCCCTTAATGCTCAGTCTTTCGAGGTGAACTTGATCAGTACAATTTCAACCAAGAGAAAACTGTCGGCTCCGTTTTCCCAGGGGGATTGGCAAACATAGCACCTGGGAGCGCCCAGGAGGAGTGTGGGGAGGACCTGTCCCTCCCAGCACAGTCCAGGACACATGCTGCACCTCAGACCCACCTGCACCAACTGACACCTTGCCACAAGAAAGCACACCGCAGTGGGAATGCCCTGAGCTAGTGTAAGCACTCAGCTCTGCGGTGCAGGGAACTGGAGGCCAGTGAGATCCCTTGCTGGGGGTTTCCTCACTGGGGGTGGCCTGAGAGAGCCCCAGCTGAGCTGCAGCCTGCAGAGAAGGGCTGTGAGACATCTCAGCGCAGCCACAGCAAGCAAACAGGGCTAACGAACCCCTGCCTCAGCCTTCCCAGTCACTGCCTTCCTATTTCCCAAGGTAGTGCTTACACTCCTGAGTAAAACCAAGGGTAGGGAAGAACGGGATACAAATCAGACTGCTATCCAAGTGTCCCATTGATACTGTGTGGCCACTGAACCACATCATGACATGCATGAAGTCGCTGAATAATTAGGAATTTGAAGTTAGTGTTCTCCTACAGATGGAGAGAATCCTCCTTTATATAAAATACATGTTTTCACAAAGGACAGCAGACCATTTTAAAACAAGTTTGAGATAAAGCTAAGTCCGTTTCTACTCCTCACCAAGATGCAGAGGGCAAAACATTTCAAAGGAAGTGGGATTGCTTCGTAGTTACATATATAATCAAGTTTCACTATTTGAACATGACTTGAAAATGTATCTGATATTTTTATCAATGCAAAAACAATGTTCTAAGCACACACCACTAGAGAAATGCCACGACTTGCGTAAAATTAGTAACCAAACAATTAAAAATATTTTTTTTACATTTAGTTTGCATTGTCTCTTTGAATATTTTCTCATAAAGATAATGGTCTGTATATATTGCTTTGCATCGAGTAGAGTTAAATCAGCAATTGATTTGGTTTTGTATTCTTTCAGCTAAGAAAGCTGTAAATACCAGGATCCTGCCTGCTACATGAACACAAATGGCCTCAGTGGAACCCTGCCAGTTTACAGCAGCAGAAAATCAAGGCCAAAGGATCAAAGAGTCTTTTCCATAAGAGCAGGGATTTGTTTCCATGCCACCTTCTTCAAAAGGTTCTGAATTATCTGGTGAGTACTCTCCATACTGAAATTATTTTCTTTCAGTGGCACTGTGTGTATATACAAGTGTATATAATGATACCTTTGTGCATTAACAGAAATATATTTAGAACCATAATGATGTCTGAATCAGATAGATCTGTCTGCAGCTCTTCTCACTTCCTCAATTTTTATCTTATGCTTTCAAAGCCATTATCTCATCAAATAATTACTTTTCCCTTTACACCCACAAGAAGCAATTCAGAGCATTAATATCTATGCTTGGACCATTAGTATTTGAGGAAACAACCCTTCAGAATTCTGACCCAGTGAAAGTAGTACTAACTTCTCATAAAACTCAGAATTCGTCCTCATGACTCAGGATCTATCAAGACTGAAGTAGGAAGCAGTCTTTCTGGTAACACCTCAATAAGCAAAAAGTTCACAGCTGATCAGGTCACTGGCTGAGATAGGTGCATATTTCTGCTGCATCTCAGACATCAGTGAAATCATGAATACAGAGGGATTAGAAAGTTCCATCACACAGCCTTTATTTCCTGTGAATTCACCCAACATCAGAGATTTTACACTTCTTTCACTGAGTTAGAAAGCCAGACCCACTCCCCACTGCAATCATCACAAAGCTGACTCCAGGAAGCACACACTTTACTTTTCTATTGTGAGTTTTTACCCTTAATGCTTTTCAAAAATTGGAAAAGTGTTTAGAAAAACCATAAACAGGAGAGGAGGGTGTACCTTACCATGCTGAATACCTAAAATAATAAAGAGGAAAAATACATATTATTCGGATTACAAAACACCACAGAAATATAGATACAAATCCAGGTAACTAACTCCATGTATATGTATAAAATCTAAAATGTAAATCAAGTACATTTTTTAAAATGATGATTTGGTAATGGAGAAAAGGAAAATAGGCCTTCTCTGTGAAGGATAGTCAGTTAAAAGTTACAAGCCAAAAACAACCATCAGTATATCCAATAAAGCCAATATGTCACACTTGGAAAAGGTAGCCTACATTGGCTAATCTCCACTGTGGTGGAGATTACCATATCTGTCTCTGCTAACAAAGAGCAAAAAAGAGCAAAAAGTAATGTAAATTTAAGTAAATTATCCTAATTTCTCTGCTTAGGATGAATGTTACCAGAGTTCCCATTTTGTTGGGGATTCTGCAGCAAAGTGTTTCTTTATATCTAATGGAACCATATAATGAGTATACTGAATGACACTTATTGAGCTTAATAGGCACTCTGAACATTTGGTAAGAGAATCATCTGCCTGCAAGAGGAGGAACTGAATGGCTGAATGTCTCCCTCATGTACAGAAAAAGATTGTTAATGAAATGAATAGGAAATGCACTTAGTTTCCAGAGCTGATTTGGCCTGAAGATCATTATGAACTCCAGGATAAGTCATCACTGACTATAGTGACAATAGGACTCCAACACAACTTATCTATAGATTTGTACTTCATACCTTTCTAGAAATATATATGTAAAGAGTGCCAAATTCATCATCAGTCATTTTGTGAACTCACGAAAGCCCATCTTTAAGGTTGATTCATTTTCAAAATGACAAACTGTACAGAGCTTTCTTAAACTAAAGATTCTTTACTGTATTTACTTTATTTACAATAAGCAACTATGCTAAGGAAGTGGCATTCCCTGATTCTCTGTTGATGCCCTCAAAGGCTGACCTTGCTAATTTTGTAGAGCAGCTTTCTATTTCCTCCTCCTGGATTTACTCTTGGACTTCTTCCAGAATTTATTTCTCATTCATCCCATTCTTTGTCCTTAGAAATTTCTGACAAAGGAGCAAAACAGTCTTGTATTCTATCAATCTCCAGAGCTTGCTGAATTTCAGTGATGCCGAGTATAAACCATAAGCTGGTACCCAAAATCATCTCAGAAACAAAAAAAAAGTTAAATCTGACAGCCTCTCAACGCCAATTTCTTTAATGGATTAAATCACTATGTTTCTTTCTGTCTGGGTGGATTTTTGTAGCACTAGAAGTTTAACTGTCAGTAGTTACACAACAGCAATTTTGATCAACTCTCTCAAAAGAGTTTACGGTAACCTGGCATATTTATGTCTCAGAAGAACTAAAGCAACTCAGAAGAAAGAAAAATATACCCCCAAATTTATTCACTGGTATAACTCCACATCTTAAAATCTTGCAGTGACAGAGAAAGAGTTTATAGACCAACATGTCAGCTGCAAAAAGTTCCTTCAGCTCTACATTACAGAAAGAAATAAGCAAAGACAGCTTTAGGACTAGCTTTAGGCTAGTCAGTACCAAATATAAGCGAGAGTAGCCATGCCTGCTATTCTGAATCACACCAGCTTGTTTATGTTTCATGGAGCAATTATTCCAGCATGCCTAAAGGCTATGTGGGCTTTACTGCAGTCAGGGATTTTACTTTATTATTTTTTTATTTAACAAATGGGAATTCACAGCTCTCGTTTGAGACATCTTCCAGCTGCTTCGTACCACATCAAAAACAACAAAGAAGCTGAGCAACAGTGAGGCCACTGATCTATGCAAAACTCCCTTTGGATTTAGGGACTGACAGAGACCTTCTTAGTCAACCTGAATACCTAAGCAAATCAATGCACAAAATATAAAAAGATGGTAAACATTCCTCACTGCTGAAGGGCTACTATACAAGTGGCTTTGAGCAAGCACTACATTCCTATTCTGTGTTTTCATTCAGACTAAGACTAGGAGGTGTAGAGAAAGCCAACCTCAGGCTCCAAGGCACCTTGATGGAACAAAGAAAATCCTGAGGATGTCATTTACTGTCCACGCAGACAAAAAGCATTTAGTAAGGGTACAAGAAGTAAGATTTATTCTCCAGAATGCTATTTCATCAGCATTGCACAAAATGCCATTCAGAGTGCATCTGATTCAGTCTTCAGCTCCTGCTGGACTTTACTTCTCTCCTCTTCAGACAATTCTTACATGGGCATCAGCTCAGCTTCAGAGAACTTAGAGGTCAGTGCCACATTGTCATAATCAAATTCTTCATCAAGTAAGAATGGTTGAACATCATCTCCCAGTAGCTGTAATGAACAAAACAGACACATAAATGATATCGCTGCAAGTAATGATAAGGAAGCTCAAAATATAAACTTCTAATTAATATTTAATTAAACTATTTTTCCGACTCCAGCACTCTCAGCTGATTAAGCTGTTTTTAAGTAAAAGAATAAATTCAATTATTCAATTTGACCTAATTTAAGCCATTTAATGTGCCCCATTTGTACTGTTCTGTATCTGAATGAATATCATTAGCTAATTTTGCTTGAGGCAAGGAATCTGAAAACCTCTGCACACATCTATTACAATTCTGCTGCTTGTAGAGACAGAGCTGTGGGGATATGGGCAAGTTATGTACAGACACGTTAAATTTCAAAGGCAGATTCCATACCCTTAAAATTTGGGCTAGTATCACACAACACCTCAGTGCACATTCATCTGATGCTAACATAAAATGATGCCCAGAACACAGTTTTGGCAAAGAAAAGGCCTGGAATATGCAAAATGACACAATCAATGTTCATTCTCTAATAATTTTCACCATGTCAGACATATGCAATTGGTTGGTTTGGATTTCTTGTACGATGAACATAGAGCCTTACTGCACTTGCCAATATTTTCTCTGTTGACATATTGCTCAGCATTTCTGTATTGCTTCTCACTGAAATACCTGAGAATAAACTCTCTGCCTATAAAATAAAATAATGAAAACAAATAACTACAGCATGCTGCATGCTGAAAAGGAACTGCAGGGAGCCACAGCACAAAAGGTTTATAGTAACCAGTTACATAAAATGAATTCCAGAAGTACGCAGGAGACACATCCTCACTGCCCAAACTGTACAGGAATATTCTTTATCCTTTTAGAAGTTAATATAAAGTATCTAGAAATTTCAACCATGACAGATGACTTATCTCCTCAAGGGCTCTGTGTTTCAAAGTCTGATGTACTTCAGTAACAAATCAGCAAAACATCTGTTTAAAAAACAACTTGTTTTTAAACACTCGATGAATCCCCTCTGAAGCTAGTAACTGCTTAAGTACACAGTAATAAGTAATGCTTCCTATTTATAGCCTTAGAAACTACAACAGCTACAAAAAGCACAATAACACTACTTGATAGAGCAAATAGCTACAAAACAACATGTTTCAACATAGTCACCACCATTAGCTGTGCATGTTTGCCAGTAATAAACAAGAACCTGCATGCTGAGCTCAAAATGACCCAGCGTCAGTGTCACCAGTGCTGAAACACCACCCACTGTGCTCACATCCACTGTTTGGTCTCCACAAGTGTTCAGCAAGTATCAGAGAAAGTCAGTGCGTGCCATTTTTCCTGCACAGAGAAATTCACTGACACACTTTTGCTTCATATGCATTTCCATGGCAGACACCATTTTATGAGCCTGCCCCTCTGCTGCCATCTGTCAAACACAGCAACAGCATGTAGTGCGATACTGGTGGGAAGGTTCAGTCTCTACTGCCATACCACCAACAACCATCTCTAGTTTCTCGTGCCAATGTAATAAAGTAGGAGGCGTTACTTTCAGAGCAGCCCGTGTATTTGAAGTTATGAATAGTCTTACTTGTTTTGCTGAATGCAAGGAAGAACATTCAGCACCTTATGGTCATCAGTCAATTTAGAAGACACAGTATCACACACAATTTCTGTTAACGTTCTGTCAGAAGCTGCAGTGACACACTTCATACCATTTAATGAATCATAGAAGCAGCACTGGGATTCCTCTCCAGTGGCAGGGCACCCAACAGACACAGCAGTGAATATCCTTGTAAAGGATGCCTTATTAAGTAAACTTTAAAATTGTCTGACTGACCAAGAAATATTTTTCCAGTTTTCTATAATTTTATTGATCATCTACATTGTTCCATGGACCTGGCTGATATTGGCTTCAAGGACGCTGGAGGACATAAATCAGACCCACAGACATTGGCATTAATAAATAAGAAAAGAGAATTTTGTAAATAGAGTTTTTACAGAAAGGTATTCATTTTGCATGCAGACATTTTCTTTCTTATGTCCACAGACTAACTCAGGTAAACCATCATTAACTTCTATAAACAGCACATGAAATAAATGTTTATATAAGACAAAGCCTGCAAACAAGTACTCTTCCCTGTTAGGGATAGACCTTGTTAAGGTCAACTCCTTGACCTTCTCACCACATTTATGTCCAGTTTCTATTTTTCCACAGGCAAAGCTTTCCAAAATTCTGTATTGTTAAGGGTACCAGGAGCTGGCTAATGACTGGTAACAGCAATTACATTTCATTAGTACTCATCTTTCCTTTGAGGAAATACAAAACATTTCTAAAATATGATGTAATATGCAAACAATTTTTTCTGTTAGTTTCGTTGAAACAATATTTTTTACCACGTCAATTTACCACGTTAATTACCAAGGTAATTAAGCTCAGAATAGTTCAAGTTACAGTACACCCTCACAGGGATTCTACAAGAACAAATGTATCCTTTCTCTGCTAACGTAGTTACAGAAACCATACAATCATTCACTGTGCCCTTGTGTTGAACTTTGTATCAATCCAATAACTTTTCATGCAAATGCAGATAAATACTGGAAAAACTTGTTTAAAAAAACTTAAACCCAAAAAGCAACATGGAGATGGACGCCAAAGTAAAATATATCTGATTTCACTGCTACCAATTTTTTTGTTACACATTCATTGCACATTGAAAAGTTTATTCACATTACGTATTTATCAGTGTGCTTCATCTCTCAAACAAGTTCTCAGAGCAGTAAGGATTCTTTTTTTCTGCTTCTTCCAAGAAGGTATTCACTTCAGCCTTCTACACAGATAAGTAGTATAAAATTTTTATACTGCAATTTGCAATTTTGATCTGTTTCAAAAGGAAGACATTTTACAACAGAACACAAAATCCTCTGAGCTGATCAAGTTATTATTATGTTATTTTTGCCTGAGGTGCTGAGAGAAATATATGAATTTCAGGTCTCTAATTTAACCTCTAATTGAAAACTTTTTGAAAGCTTTCTGGGAATAGAATTCTACTCTATTAGAAAGCTGCCAGTTTGCTTAAGATTGCTCCCTTGATTTACTCTCTGAAGAAAATAATTTTCATTTACAGTTCCCGCATGTCCAAATTAATGCTCATATTAATAACTAAAGTATTTTACTGCAGGTTGCTTTACAAAGTAATTTCGTAAATAAAATACCTTAAAATGAGACTTTCAGAAGCCAAAAATAACTGGCAACTCAGTCATTGTTATTAATCTGTGTGGAGTTAAAGTTAACTGAACAGTTTGTCCCTGTCCTTCCAAATACCTGTATTTTTGTGTAATTACTCCTAAAATCCACTTGCTGAAATTATGTAAAGGATGCACATACACTCACTGGTGTTTTCATTGTATGCTCAAAGGAAAACTTACTAAGCCAATAACAATGAAAAATAAAAGATGGCGGGGGTGGGAAGAAGGTATATATGCCATTATCTCATAGAAACTTAGTATGTACTGGAGGATTTAGGGCAACACCAAAAAAACTCTTGAGTTAGGGCCACTGGACAATACATCACGGTCTATTTTCCACTACTGCTTCATCATCCCAGACAACTTGCTCAATCTCTGTCTTTACTGGCCTCTAAAACGATACAACTCTTCCATCTTCTTTCACTTAGTCAATCCTGTCTTAATGTTCTTTCTCGGTCTTGAGGCCTATCAGTAAAATCTCAAATTACAGGAAGTCAGTGGGACCTGCACTTCAGGTTTTAGATGCTGTCATCACACAGCTAAAATGATAAAAAGAGGCACAGTAAATACTTTTTTGAATGGCCAAAATACTTCTTGAAATTCTTAAACTAAATGCTAACAGTGGAGAACAGAAAGGTTGAATTCATCTTTCCTAATCTCAGCCATAGAAGAGTTAAATTTTTAGGTTAAAGTAGCCAACAAAGAACCAGCCTGACAGTCAGCCTCTGATATCAAACAGATATATTACATCTTAGGACAAATACTGACAGCAAGTGGGATAAATCACTTTCTGGATGTACTCATCTCTTCTTCCTGACGACAGCACTAAATTAGGCTAAAAGCAGAGCTCAAGTTAGGTGAGATGAATCCTACTTTGAATGCATGTGAACAGCGAGAGCATGAAAAATATGCATTCAACTGAAGTCAAATATACGCAAATGGAAGATAAGAACAAATAAAAACCTAGATATTAATACATAGAGTTAATTTAAAAATATGAAATAAATATACTATGTAGAGATAAAGGAGAGAAAAAATATCGGGGCAGAGGAAGTAAATGTTCTGTCTAATGTACTTCAATCATGGAGTGAATGCGGTTTCTGCTACTTCACTTTGGATTGGTCTGTGTTGTTGAGCTGCATATAATAAAGTTTGAGAATATACGTGTATTTAATATATTGAATATATAACACATTTCTAAAACCAGCAAAATTGCTGGCCAGTACAAATAATTTCTTGTGTCACTCACTAAGCTGTTCTTTAGTAATTAGCCAAACTCTGTGCTGGCTTTTAACAGAACTTCTCTTTGTACACAAAACTTTCCCTAGCAATAAATTCCACTGAAGTCTCTCACAAATAGGTCCACAGCAAAGAAATTCTCCTCCTACACTGAAATAAGATTGTTTATTTTTCATAGGAAATGGCTTTCCATTATATCCTGTGAAAACCAAATAGGAAACCACATTCTGTTGCCTTTCCCTAGCAGAGTTGCTTTGTTGGACAGAAAACAGTCATTTCAAAATGTTGCCAGGGTAAATCTTTCTTCTTAAGCAGTCCTGTCAAAAAGCAAAGCAAGACTTAATTTTCACAGCAATGACAATTTAAAGCACTGAGGGATTTTAAAATAGAACTGTTCAGTCTTGACAGTTCTAAAAATCAGGCCACACTTCTGATACTTAAGTGAAGGCACTAAAATACACATAATCTAGGGAAAATGCTGTCTTCATTTTGAGAATTGTGTTGTCCAGTACCAACTGAACACTTGTGAAAAAGAAGCATTAATGTAATAATACTCTATTTCCCTTTCAAAATCCACCTTTTTCTGAAATTGAAGTGAATGCTGCATGCAGTGGAATCTTCAGTTACTTTTCATGAACTATGTTACAGTCACATACAATCATTTACGAATACTGCAACAACCCCCCTTCTTTGATTTTACACAGAAGTTATCAAATGAGCAAACTATAAAACCTCATACTAAGGGTTTTTGTGTGCCAATGGATATTTCTTTAGGCAAAAAACTGTGAATTACATCAGTCCTTAGGGAAAAGTGCAAATATTTTTATTCACAGAGTGGAATGCACTAGAGCTGGAAAGGTCATTTTAGAACATTATTACTTTCTCACAAAGCAGACCTGTTCCTTACAGTGAAGAGTTTATTGCAAAGAACCAAACACAATTCAACTCGTGAAAGGAGGCACTATGCACACTGCCATAACATCAATCCTTCACTGGTCACATATCATTATGGCTTATGGTTTAAACCTCATAGGATATCAATAAACATATGATATCAAAACTGCCCCATTTTAGCCAGAAGCTAACTTCAGCTTCTATTACCACAATCAGGCAAGGGAAAAGAGCTATGGAAAAAAATTTTCAATAGAAACATCCCCAAAAGCTAATGCTCACAATGACTGTTTGGATAGGAAGCTAAATGACTTAGAATAAGCCTGTGAGCAATCCACACCTTCTGTTCTACTTTGAAAAGGTCTGAAATTCTGAAGGAAAACGGCAATTCTAAATTAAAGCACGTATTGATTGTGTCTGATTAAAAGACTGAGATTCCATAACACAAAGCTGTCCACACCCGTTGTAGACAATACAAATCCTCAGCAGCATCATACAGCATCATACTACCACTTATTCCCAAAAGAATAAATCCCAATTCTGATCACAGTATATTCTAAAACCATTTTCAGTGTCACACTGAAGTGATCATTCACTACCTCTTTGTTGCAAAAAAATGGTTCCTATATTCAGCTCAGTGAGAACTGAATATTATTTTAAGATCATGTGATCACTGGAATATTGAATGGCACATCACTCTTCGTAAGTTCCCATTTGTTATAAGGTCAGAAAGTGCAAGAGTTTACTTGAATATTTTTTTAGTTAAACCAATTTTATATTAAATTAAATTAAATATTAAAAAGCCCACATACATTTTGGAGCCTTGAAGTCTACCTTTTGAAAATGCAAGATAATATAATAACAAAACAACATTTTTGTATTCAATCATTTATCCCAATTCTTAATGTGTTTAAGAATATGTTTTTAATTCAAAAATTAATAATATGATTTTTTTAACTCACAGAAGCTTCTCACAATCTCTCTGTCCTTGTGGAAATAACATTGTAAGCCAAGAGGTTGGGAAAAAAAAAAAAAAAGAAAGAAAAATATGGCCTTATACCTCTTCTGCTTTGTTGTCCAGTGGCTCTTGAACTGAGGAGATTTTGAGCTTCTGCTGAAAAGACTTTTCTAAAGGAAGTGGAGAGCAAGTCCCTATCTCTTCCACCTCTCCTGGAAGAACAAATGACCCTGCTGAATAAAAAATAATGGACGTTAGCCTTCTATTTTATGTGTGAGTTTAGCAAAATCACGTGTAAAATCTCATAGTGCTTAAATGCAGACAGAGGTTTTTTAGTTGTAAGTGTAGAATACTGACTGTTGCATAATATTAGGCAGTTACCTTGAGAACAGATCCATGCAATCCTAAGCTAAAATCTAGATAATAAAGTATACTATACTAAGGAAAAATCAAAGTTAAATAGATGGTTAGCTCTTCTTTCTTGAGAATACAGCATAGAAATTCTGCAGCTAGACATGCCCAAACTCAGAGAAAATTTGGTATTAGATTTATGTGTTTCATAAAGACGAAGGAAAATCCTGAGCAGACTTACAAATAACAGATTGAATTCTAGTCTTGCTATTGATTAGCTGGGCAGTTTATTTCAATTCTCTTTTCCTAGAGTTTCACCATCTCTACATTGGGCATAAGGAATCTTTACAAGTATCTGTCTTAGTATTAATCTCCTGAGGTGTTAAGTAAGCAATACCTGATAGAAGTAATAATATTTCCCATTATGATGCCAGTTGACTCTTGTCCAAGGATATTTAATGGATGTTTGCCCATCCCTGAACTTTCCAATGAGAGGCATTTAAGAGGAATTACACGTATCTGGAACACGCAACCTTTCTATGCTGGCAGCATTTGGACCACAGTTCACAAGTCTACAGACTTTCTGAATCACTTCTCCATTCCACACTTAAGGAAAATGTTCGTACTAGGAATGGTGGGTTTGATTTCTGTGACAGCTCAGAATGATATGCCTTTGGTTTACAAGTATCTTTTAACATCAACCAATCTCAACTCTGCTACAGCGCAGATGCATCCATCTTGTCTCCATAATGCTTTCATATGAAGAAACTTAAGGAAACCATATGTCTTGCAATTTAGTTGAAGGATTATGTAAATCAATCTACTCTTTTTTCTGCCTGGTGCACAAATTTCTTTACAGCTTCATAACAGATATTTGTAGCTTATTTTTCTCTTGAAATCTCGGAAACTTTCAAAGTGTTGTTCAAATGTTAATTAATGGAACCAATAAGAGGGTAGATAGATGCAGAGTGAAAAGGAAGAAGTGGCTGTTTATCTCTACCTGCATGCTTTCATCAGAGCAGAGTGGTTACAGACCTCTTATCTTCCTGTAAAGCCACATTTGAAAATAATGATTTCCTAGCTAGGCATTCTTGAAAGTTACATAATGAAATTCTTCATTTATTTTTTCTTCTAGCATCTCTATATTTTTTCAAAGCCAGCAGGACTATCCACTTTGGACTTGTAAAGTAGAACATTCTTTAATAAAGAGCTGAATCTATTCCCTCTGGTATCTCATTCCCAGACTTATGTGTTTTGCTTCATGATTCACAAATAAGTGGTTTTCAATTTTCACCTCTACTCTCTTGGTTGCTTATACCTATCTCCAGTCATCTATGTGCTTTCAGTCCTTGTCCTCAGTATAGTATCTGATCTTATTCTCCATCAGTTATATGAGAAAGCTTTCTGAAAATGCACTATGGCTACACATACTCTGGAACTACTTTTTTCATTCTTTCATAACCGGTGTCAAAATTATTTGTAGGACAGAAGTGAGATGTGAATGCTTATTTAAAGGCAATGGCAACTTCTGCTATTGTTTCAAACTTGCACCCCAAACATACACCCTCCCTGAAGAGAGGAAAGCCTGGACACCAAGAGGTTTATATCACCTCCTGAGGTAACGTCCATTATTTTAGTACTAAGAGCAGCTTTTTCCTCACAACAGACCAATCTGTGGAGAGAAGATGAAGAAGAAACATTTATGTAACTGCCTGGCAGTGGCTCAAGAAGACATCTCTTAAAAATTGGGACAACAGAAGGAAATTTATTTTTGCTTTTAGCAAGAAGTGCTTGTCATACTCAGAATGTCAATTCCAATTTTTTAAGGCTCGTTAGTAATGCAAACAGTGTTTCAAATTTCCTTCAATCACCCCGTAAGAATGTGGTAATCAACCTTTGTTTGCCAGTAGACATGCCAGAAATGAGCTTTGTCTCTCTATCCTGGCTGCATGACAGCATATGCAAGTCTAATCGGTAAATGCTGCTTTCCCTGATAATGTTTAATCAAGAAACTCCTTCAGAGAGAAAAATTAGAGAGTTTTGACAGTACTCCTTCTCAATGGGAGCTCCCAAAGGAACTGTAGGCTATTGTAAGTTCTAGCCAGTACCTCACAGCTGATTTAGGTTGCTGTTACAGCACTAGTGGATGATGATCCTAATTAAGCTGCTAATTATGTTCTGTATGGAGGTGATTAATTAGCAACAGGAATGCCATGGATATTGCCAATGGCACTGTATATAGAGATAATTGAGAAGGCAGTGAAATCAAAAATATGAGAAGACACTGAAGAATCATCTTCTTGGATAATATGGCAGTGCGCTTCTACAATTTTGCTCAAGTCCAGTGAAGTTTAGCAGAACAGATTTGGAAGCTGAGAAAATCTTCTTTAGCTCTTTTACTCCACGTGACAGGCTCAGAGAAAGTGATTACTAACTAAATTTGCAAAGACCACTAAATTGCTTTTTTTTAGATTCAGTTTGTACCACTGATGTTAATTATAAGTATAGGAAAAAAAATAATCTGTTGGCAGAAAACTGATCTGAACCCTCAGGAATGAACAAGTATGCAGTTATCTATCTTTACTGAGCCAAGTGATGCACAGCTATAGATAGGCCACTGCAGGCTTTACCACTTTTGACACTACATTTGGCAAAAATTCTGTTGATGGGAAGCTGAAGAGGAAAGTAATGCTAACAAAAAAAAAAAAACCTTAAAAGCTAAATTTTGGCTCCTCTCATTCTCAGGCTTCAGGCTGTTAGCCCCAAAGAGCTGTCTAGTGTGAAGTCATCCTGAGGCAGTGTTAAGTGGGTTGCAGAGAGTAGAGGAGATAAAAAGAAACAGGTTCGTAGTTTGGGTGGAGCCCAATACTTAAAAAAAAAACGTCCACAGAACTCTGAATCCTGTTCCTGAAGATGATTTTTTTTTTTCAAAATATAAATGGGAAGGCATAGATTATGGAAAATAAAATATTGCTAAATATTGCATAGAGAACTGTTAAGTTAAATAATCAGTCATTCGGGTTCTCCTTATTTTCTTTGGGGCAGCAGAAAATGTGGACCATGAAAAGACAAGTATGCTGCATCTCAGCATTCTAAGCCCAATCTGTGTATCCTTACTCACACATTTAATCAGCTCTTTTTTAATATACTCCTGTATTTAAAGAAGGCTATACTCAAGGTCCCTAGACATGCTTCTCACATATTTAGCATTTTGTATAAATACTATCTACTATTATTACCCAAGTATCCTTTGAGCCCTACAGCAAGTGATTTGTCACCCATTCTGGAAAGGAATTTTGTTGCCAAAACACAGGTACTAGGCATTCTCCATCTGTCCTTGGAGAAAGCCTCATTATTTCTATTGTTGCCTTAAGCTACTTACAGATTAAATTCAATGAGAAAAAGCAATTAAGCAGTCCACCATACGCATGCTGTCACTACGCTATGGTTTAAAGCTATGGTTTAGGGCAGCAATTTTCCTTTGCCAATTCTGGTTTGCTGAGCCAAAGATTCACAATGAAAAAGTACTGCCTTGCTTTCAGGCTTGCAGCCCAGTGCTGTCTAATGAAAACAGCTACAGTGAATTTGCATACTGACTAAATCTATGGGCTGTTTCTCTCATTAGAAGCAGCTGTGTTCACACTGTAAAAGATACCGGACTTAGTAAAATAATAAACAAAATAAAGCAGAATGATTCATAGAATCACAGAATGGTTTGAGTTGGAAGGGACCTTTAAGACCATGTAGTTCCAGCCCCCTGCTGCAGGCAGGGACACCTCCCTCTTGACCAGGTTGCTCACAGCCCCTCCACCCTGGCCTTGAATGCTTCCAGGGAGGGGGCATCCATAACCTCTCTGGGCAACCTGTGCCAGAGTCTCACCACCCTCACAGAGTAGAGAGGAAGAGCCACCTCCCTCAACCTGCTGGTCATGCTTCTCTTGATGCAACCCGGATACAGTTGACCTTCTGGGCTGCAAGCACAAAGTGATTCTCACAGAACATCCTCCAGAAGGCACCTGGCTGTTTTAACATGTATTTTCTACCATGCTTTTCACACCTTCAGCCTTGAGCCACTTCTCCATAAGTGTGAATATTTATTGCATTAATGTGCAATTGCTAACTCAGCTAAATTATCTGCCCTTAAAGTTAAACGAAGTACAGAGATGCTGAACAGTTGCCAATATCAAGCAGAGATAAAAGCTTGCTGTAATTATATTAGCAAGGTATATTTTTCATTGGGTGTCCTGGCTTGTTCTGCCAGTATGAACTCATTTGTCTGACGCAGGGGTGGCAGCATTTAAAGAGATCAGCAACAGAATGCCTTTCAAATTTGATTCACACTTTGCCTTACTTATAAATTAATTAGAGCCCTTTACAATCAATCCTTTATTAAAGTGGCCATTAGTGATATTTTATAGTCATTAAGGTAAACCATTTTATATTTTATTTTGCATGTTGTTGCTAGAAATAGAAATATTTATATTTCTAGAAATATCTATATTTCTATTTCTAGAAATGAGATTATTAATCTCTCTTCATGAAGAAATGTGGATTTTAATGTATAAGAGAACTATCTAGCTATGAGGCCTATTTTCTGCATCATGACTTAGGAGTGAAGGGGTTCTTTTTGTAGTTTTGTTGGGGGTTTATTTTTGACTTGAACAACCATCCTCCATTGAAGCCTTGGGCAAGAACAAGGCTATGCATTTCTGAGTTTGGTTGCTGTTTACTTTCCTTACAGAGCAGAGACAGAATAATTAGCTTCTGACTGTGCAGTATTGCAATGTTATAAAATATAATCTAAATACTTCATGTCATTAGTCAGCACTCTTGATTGCTGAGGAATTGATGCAGCCACTTTCTGCAGCAAAGCAGTTTGTGCAGTGAGGGCTATCTTGTGGGAGGAGTTGAGGAGAGCAAATATTGAAATCAATCAAATGTCAAGTAGAAAAAAAACAAACTAGTAGTTAGCATAGTGATAATCTACAGTAGTGGTGGCATAATAGTTTTTATTATTGTTTATGGTTACCATTAAAAGCCATAACTGAAAAACTTTCCCAAGTTAGCTTGCATGAAGTTATATTCAGACAGCACAAGCAGATGATCATTTCTGTAATTTTCATCTTGTTCAAATGCAGCATGTTTTACTAGGAGGTTTCTAAATGTATGTGATTAGCATTTACTCTTGCACACTGAAAGGCCTGTGGACAGACAATGTCTGCAATGGTCCAGAAAGTGGACCCCAAGTTCTGTCAGTTCTTTTTCATCACTGCCCAGCTTGTACTGTTAAGCTTATTTCTCATCTTCCAGTTTGTGGCTTCTTTTGAACCAGAGATATCTGATGATACTTCTCCTAAACTAGATATAGACCAGTCTTATTTCATTAGTGAAATGTAAATTAAGGCTTCCACCAGTGAGTCCCAGTTTTAATAGATATTATGATAATTGAAGATAAACACAGAACAATGAGAACAATGTCCTAAAAGGGGGAAAAATGAGAAGAACAATGCACAGAAAAGAACTTTTCCATTTCTGTACCTGACACAGGACAGCAATCTCACTCTGCCCTTTCTACTATGCCCAGTTCAAAGAAAGATTGTTAAAAAACTGACTTAGGCTGGTTTATTGTTTTCTTGTGAGTTACAACCAAGCTCTAAATATTCATCAATTCCAAGCCCGTAAGCCCTCTGACTTCATAAGTACTCTGCACATACAGAAAGGACTAATCAAATAGTTAATGGATTAGACAGACTAATTAACCAGTAACAACTAAGGACCAAAGTCTGCTCTGTCACAGCTTCTTCCAGTGACTTTATGCAAAACTCTTAAACTGTATGGCTTGGTTTCTTTGTGCAGTCACAAGTATAGATGAGGAAAATCACCACAAGGTGTTCCATTTTGGTAGAAACAAAGACCGCACAAGTACCTGTAATAGACAAACAACTGCAGGCACAATATTTCTATATACTTTTCAGTGGCAGGAGAGTTGAATTTTTTATACTCATAATGGAGAAATTCAAAACAATTCAAAATGCTCATAGTTTGAATGCTCAAAGAAGTACACCATGTATTAAAGATAATTCTTATTCATTTTAAGCCCAGGATGAAATCACTATAATGAGTAGGGAAAACATTTTCATTAAATATTTCCACTTCATAGGATTCTCTTTTAGCACCCGATTTACTTTGTGGGTTACACTTTCTAATTAAAATAATTTCTATACAAAACAGAGGAAGAGAAAAATGAGAAAGTTGCCACAGAAAGTTGAAAAACCCTGAAAAAAAATCAGTGCCTAACAGGTAACTTACTATCTCATCTTAGAGTGTGGACATAAATTCATTAGTCTGGGGCATACGGGCAATTAGGAAAATTTTCTAGCAATAGAAGAATGGAGGAAAAATAAAATTTTTAAGAGATAAACTGTTCTGCTAAACAATGTTTCAGAGTCACTAAAAAAGAATGAAAAGTAATATCTGTACACATGGATCCAAAGACAGAATCTGATTGTGAATATGAAGATGGATAAAACGTACCATTGCATGGCTCTCCATCTATGTATGTTTCTAAGTAATGGTCCACCTGCAGTGAAAAAAAAAAAAATAAAGTGAAAAACAGATCAAATTCCATTCCTTTCAGTACAAACTACAAAAAAGCAGAAAAGTATTAAGTTGTCTTCTTTGTCATCTCAATTCTCCTCTGTATTTTTCCAAGAAAGAATATGATTTTTTTTTCAATGTAAAACACAAAGGAAAAACTTCTAAGTGTAGAAGGATTTCTGCACAGGATTGCTGCTGCAGCTGTTGCATACCAACTACAGCGAAAGAAGCTCAAGCTGAAGAGCAACCTTTTCAAAATCTTGGTAGGAAGATGGAGAAGTCAAGTATTTTCAAAGAAAAAAAAGCTACTCTGTGGATTTGCAAAGGCACAACACGTGACACAGGCACAGCTTAAACTGTAAACTTCATCTTTCTATATTTGATATTAATATTGAACTGAATGGAAAATGAAAAAGCTAAGGATTGTGTAAATTTTAATACTTCAGCTGGGACGTATCACTACTGCTTTTATCAGGCTGATATCTGCTGAAAACAGTCCACACTATAGAACAAGTATCACAAGAGTTGCTTCATATTCAAGGCAGCACTCTGAATAGATGCAAATATGAGAGTCAAAGAGCTTTCCCAGCCCATCTGTAAATAGTGTTACAACAAAGGATTTATTTACTATACTCAATAGAGCCTTCTGTGTATCTGTGCAGTAATCAGGGATGCTCTTTGATCATTTTTTACAAACTGATTTGGCACTATTGTGTTACACAACCTTTATATTTTAATAGCACATGCTCATTAACACTTGGAAAAGAAATGTGGAGGATGATGATCTCATTCTTCTTTCCCATAGATGTGAAAGAAATACAATGACAAACTGCAAATGCTTTGTTTATACATAAAGCAAAATTCAGTGACGTTCAACTCATAATCTCCACTTTGAAGAAAATCAAAGGAAACCTCACCTGAGCTCTTTCAGATAGACAGAGGCCATTTCCATCAGAGTCACCAGATTTCCAGCTCTCATTTATAACCATCTGTAGATAGACATGCAGAAATATGCATGAAACAGAACCAAAGCAATAGTCCAGCTCATTTACACCCCTACTGATTTACACACACAGATTCTTGACAGTGATTAAAAGTTGTATAAAGTGAATGCTGTGCTGCTGCAAATAGAATGCATGTAGGTAATCCTTTGAAATTCTACATGGAACCAGACTGATTTAGTATAAGTAATCACACTATGCCAAAAAAGCAACATTTGGAATAGAAATATTGTTTACAAATGCAGTTCTTTCCCTTCTTTCCTCACAGGAAGTTTAAAGGCTACTGTGCCCAACTTAATGTATTAAAGACTCCTCCCATTACTATTCTAGCAGCTTTTCTGATGCATTCTACTACTACTGTATTGTTTCTAAAACTGTTCATGTGACAAAAATGTGGCGTCATGGCTGAAACTTTTTTTTCTGTAGCAACAAAGACCAGTATTAAGATCTTCCTTAACATAAAGGCTAATGGAAGCTGCACGTCGCTCTACAGGGTGGAAAAACAATTCAAAGTGGCTAAAGCAAGAGACCCAAAGGCCATCTATACCAATGAAGCATCCATACTCTTCATAAGATCAGTGGCAAAAAGATTTTTGTCATTTTTGTTATACAATCAGCTGATAGAATGTGACTGTTTTAAAAGCCTTGCTTGATTCTACCTCAAAGGCATGTGTTAGTAGGGAGAAAAATGACAGCTTTTTCTCTTTGACTGAGGCCCAGCAGTGCCATCATTTGAAGCCATTGAAGCGTGTTGCTGTGTGCATTGCACAAAACGACCTGCTACTTCATTTGTAATAAGAAGCTTAATGAATCTATTACAGGCAAGATTGCAGCTTTATTTTTTGTTATTCATGCAGGAGGGTACAAGTTCTTAAGAAGTAGATTCAGATTTTCATCTTGCTCTCTCCAGATGATGTATGCGGTTTTCCTGTCCCTGCATATTCCTAATCTCATAGGTTTCCGAAGATTAAAAAGACTTCTGGCCTGCCTAATATTTACTTTAGGCAGCTGAAGCAACAGGATTCTGTATTTTTTAAAATCCTCAAGCAAAGTAAATGTATGCATGCTGGTATTCACACACTCAAGCCTTTTTCCCAAACCCTACCATTAACTGCAGTTTTGAGTGAAAGCCTAACAATGGTCTTTGTGGGGCTCCTTATTTATTAGTCAGATTAGGACAGCTTTGCAGTAGAGAAAATGCCACTGTCAAATGGGATCCCTGAAGGTGCCTCTGTAAGCATTACACACTTGGGTAGTGTTTTAAATATTTGCCTTAGATGGGATAATACCATCAGCATCTAACATTTAGACAGTATACCCTTATTTTTACTTCTTTTAATCTTTTTGAAACTGATGCTTGTCCACACAGACAAATGTTAACTTATTACCTTATTCTCGTTTGGAGTCTGTGGTAGGACAGACATGAGCTTTTCCTTGCTTCTTTCAGGGAAACCATCCTGTTTATTTCCATATGAGATGTCAGAATCAGAAAATGATTTTCTTAAGGATTTTTTACATCCTTGAATCATCTTCATCTCTTCTTCTGTAAGGAGAATCATATTACATCAGATACTATAATGGCACCATCCAAGATAAAGAAAAACATATGAATTTCACTAGATATTATACTGACTATTCAAATATTCACTTCTCGTCTTATGCTCAGAATTTCCATGTGCATGATATACATCTACTTTGCGATCTTTATCATAAAGCTAAATATGCAGCTTGAACTCCTAGCACATAAAGTATGACCTATTCCTTGATACGGAAAAATTCACTGTTGAAAAAGTTTACAGTATATAAAAAACTTTACATACCTTCACATACCTGATAGGTTACCAAGAACAGAAAAATGCTCTGAATTTTATTGAGTGCTGTAATAATCTGGTCCAAAAATTCTTGTATTTCATACCACAGTATCTTGGTATCACCCTGTTTACACCGATGAATAGCCCAAACACATGCTCCTGCATGTGAACACCACAACCACTAGAGCAAACATCCATGTTGTCCAGTATAGAAGCCAGCCTTGGCAATTCATTTGCCAGAGCTGGTAGTGACACCAGTTGTGCGTCTGCCCAGGTCCAACATCTGCAAAGCTCTCAGGTTTCCACATCACCACTGCCAGAACCTCCACCAGACCAAGACTGTGTGATGAGATACAGTGACAGGCCCTATACGATATTATCACTTTAAAGTTACTAGTTTGTAGACAGATGACAGCACGCAATTTGCCACCAGGAAGAGAGAGCCCCAGATCATAATCCAATGAAAGTTTCTGCTTAGAAAAACGCACAATCCTAAAAGGATGAGAAAGCAAATTTCAAGGTCTGGCTTCCTACACTGTCTTTGATGCTGAGCAAAGAACTGCTCTCTTTATCACAACGCAAATCTAGCTCCTGTATCTTTATTTAGTAATACACCTCATTTGAGCTGAGACCTTTAGGTACTGCTGCTTTCAGTGTTCAAAACCTACATTAGCAACCTGACTGTCCAGGAACAATTTTGCAAGAGAAAATTTGTTTCTGGGATCAAGCTTATAAACAGCCATATGCCAGCAGCATTTAGTCGTCAAAAGTTTAGGTTCTGAAATTAAAGATTAAATATAGGTGTTTAAGAAGGGTTTGTTCCTTTAGGGGATTCTTCTCTTGTTGAAAGTCAGACTGGAAAAACATTTTGACACTGTACCAACAGAAGACTGGGATACCTTCTCTCATGTTTCTTTTATACATCAATAGCAGCTAATTGGGCCCACAGTGAAAATAAGGGAGTATTCAAAAATATAAGTGAGTCAGCAACAGCTTCTGACACCTTTCATACCTTTAAGAATGCCATTTACAACAGAAGCGAGGACAGGACAACTCCTGCTTCTCCTGGCCATCATACCGGACAGGTCTCTGCAGCGCAGAACAGCCAGCAAAATTATGACACAGCAATGACATCACAGATGGAACCTCCACAATGCAACTGCAGCTGAGAGCTGACTGGAGGTCAAGACAAGCATTTGCATGGCAGTTTGGAATTCTAAACTCACTCTGACTGTTTGCATACAAAGTAGCTAAAAATATACTAATTGTAGCCAAAATAAAACTGCCTTTTTATTAAAAAAAAAAATCCATTATAAAATATGGAGAACCAGATGAACTTTGCACTACATGAAAAAATAAATGCTGATTTTAACCAAGTTTCTTGGGTTTAGTTTGAAAGATTTACTCTATAAGAATAAGAAACACTGCAGTACATTTCTAAAGCGAAATTACACGTTATAGGCATTAAAGTAATTCTTGCAGAGAGCCTTAATGATGCCCTTGGGGTTAGTACATTCAGCCATCCACTTTCCCACAGACTTATTAATCCCCACAGACAGCTCTGTGCTGCAGTTACTATGACACACAGAAAGGGCTGGCATTCTGGACATAACCTTACGTCCTTACTTGTAAGAGTCAGGTTCATTAAAAGTAAATTGCACCAGATCAGAACAGCCTAGCAAACAGGTTTTAAAACTCAAACCACAGATGGATCCTCTGAATAATTCCTAAATCCCAGGTCTCTTGATATGACATCTGGCTTCTCCTTGCTTTTTTAGCAAGTGCTTTCCTAAAACAATATTTGGAAACAGCACTACATATGGGCAATGTCTTCTTCCTACACACTCTCTTTTTCAAGCCATGCAAATGAAGCTGTGTTAAATCAGAAACCCTCTTTCAAACTCTTGACAGGTTAAAGTGATCACCCACTATTTGAAGATATTGTCATCCCACTTTACAGGAAAAATGTGATTAGCGGCTCAAAAAGCTTCAATCTTTTGTTATTACAGTGGTAGAACAGGATGAACTTCCTTTTTTATACCAAGAACTGAGAAGTTTAATATTAAAAACTGACAAACCACAAGAGGATATTAATGTCTTTATGCAGCCAAACATGTGTATCCACAGTGTCACACCAGGAACTGAGGGGCCAGTATCCTCACTGTGCACATTCGGGGGCCTTTATGTAAGAAAACTGGAAGAAAGCTTCTGGAAGCAATATACGTTTCTCAGCAAGATTAACAGAGAGACAAAAGGCACCATCAACTTTAATGTTCAACATCATAATTCATACGCCAGTAGGCTCTGAATAAACTTATGTATAGAAACAGAATATCCCAAGTTGAAAGGAACCCATAAGCATCATCAAGCCTTACACAGAACCACCCAAAAATCAGACCATATATCTGAGAGCACTGTCCAGACACTTCTTGAACTCTGGCAACCTGCGGCTGTGACCACTGTCCTGGGGAGCCTGTTCCAATGCCTGACTCTTTCAGTGAAGAACTTGAATAAGCCAATGTCTATCTTGGGTGCCCCTGTGATCATTCTTCTGTGCTATAATCCTTTTCCAAAGATCCCGAATACTCCAAATAAAAGCATATCACTTAATATCAGAAGACCTAGGACAAATAGTTGTCATTAGTTACAATTAAGCAGTCCACAAAGTTATTTTATGACTTATTTTATGCTTTCTGGACATCTGAGCTATTCTCACAGACAAAAAGTTGATAGGTTATGTGAGCTAACAAGAAATCAAGAGCCATTCACAGTATTTGTGCACCATTCATTTACTTCAGACTAGCTAGAATAGTATTCAATTTCCAAAGAGACTAGCCATAAGCTGCTCTTAGACACATTTTTTTTTGGTTAAGACCACTGCAGCATTGCTGAGTTACATAACATCAAGTATTATCTTTGATGCAACATTCACAACTGCAATGTGATTCTAGATTAATGACTGCAAGGGGAAAAAAAACTACAAGGACAAGAAAAAAAAACAAATAAATTGTTACATGCTTCCTCAGTAGAAGTATCAGCTATGCACCCATGTGCATAATAAGGCTATGTCACAAGAACAGGCAGGGGGGTGGGAGAATCAAACATAATGTTGCACAGTGTGCCTCAGGGCAGATGAGATCCACTCTTCAGATGACTACTGATACCTGTAGTTTCTCAACACACACATCACACAACAGCCTCTTTGAGAGCAGTAAGTTATTATCTTGAAAAATATATTTGAAACAACACAAATTTTGCTAAATCTAAAGAAACTGGCAATTTGCAGAGAAATATCTCAGCTTTATTCCTTTGACAGTATTCTGAATTCCAGCCATTTCTGTCCTTACTCTTGAAAGAGAATGGAAAGCAAAACAGGTCACATTCAAGCCAGTGAGAGGCTCGCTCAGCCTCCCCCCCTTGGCTAAGTGATAATTGACTCATTATTCACAGCAAAGACCCAGATGTGTACAGCACTGGCTTTTCATGGAATCATAGAATTGTTTGAGTTGGAAGGAACCTTTAAAGGTCATTTGATCCAACTCCCCTGCAATGAACAGGGATACCTACACTAGAACAGGTGCTCACAGCCCCATCCAGCCTGACCTTGAATATCTCCAAGGACAGGTGCTTCCACCACATATCTGGGCAACCTGTGCCAGTGCCTCGCTACCCTTATTGTAAAAAAACTGTTTCTTCTATCCAGCCTAAGTCTCCCCTCCTTTTGCTTGAAACCATTTCCTCTTGTTCTGTTACAACACATTCTGCTGAAGTCTGCCCCCTTCTTTTTCATAGCCCACTCTTCCTCCCCACCCCCTTTAGATACTATGTGTGAAAAAATAAATAACAGATACAAACGCAACAAAAAGTAGCAGAGGTTTGAAAGGATGGAAGGATTCATATGTTTACTCTGAAGACAGATTTTCAATTTTACTTTTTAGAAATTCCACTGTCACTACCTTAACAATGAAATAACAAACAAGCTTAGGTCTCTAGAAAAGCAAATCTCAGTCTCTCAAGAGTAATATCCATCACTGTAACTGAGACGTATGTTGCAGGCTTCAGAAACGTTTCTATCAGAAAGTACATCAGATTGATACATTCTTTCTGTCCAGCATCTATCCTCCATATTGCTTAAAATTCTCTTTGTCTTTCAATTTGGAAGGGAATCTTTTGAAAATGTCCACTGATCACCCATATATTTCAAAGAATAATGGAGTCACTTACCACAAAGCCAGAGAAGAGAGCTATCAGGATTACCAGGAAAAACTTTCTGTCAGTGAAACCTATGAGATGAAATAGTAGCCCCAGTCCTGGAAGAATGATAAAAGTCCCTTGGTCTGAAACATTTCAAAGCAAGAACAGACACAGCGATCAATACTGCAGAGTGCCTGGCTTGGGATAACACACCAGACTAAACAATATAAGATACCAAGCGTTTCACTCCTTCAATTCAATGGATTAATGCCAAAAATGTTTATAAAAAGTGGATGAGAATAAGGCCCTTTTCAACTATTAAAAAAAAAACACAAAACTAATGCAGCAAAGTTCCAAGTTACCTCTTTGTCCTCAAAATATTAGACAGCATAAGACTTGTCAATCCCTCAAATCCCTTCAAAGTTATGCTTTGATGGAACCCCTGGGATTCAAATAATGCAGTGTCTTTTTGCAGTGCTCCTGAACAAGAAGTAATTTACTCACAGTAGCATGATAATGGTCTTGTACAGAGGTCAAGAGTACAAATTTCAATTTTATTTATTATCTCAGATGCACCAGCAAACAGACACACATAAAGCATAAACAAACTGAAATGTTTCCATAAAATACCACTCCAGGATTTTCAGAACAGGGAAACAGTGCAGAAGTACCTGCATTTACCTATTAGCAACTATGTATACAGCTTTATGGTGCTGAGGTAATTTACCCTAAATGCCAAGCCATAACAGGAAAGAAACAGATTTAAAGCCTGAAAACCCAGTTTGTTGGGAGGATAATTTTTAAAGCTTAGTTTTTTGTTGCTGTTTTTTGTTTGTTTTGGTTTGTTTTTTTTTTGTAATTCGATCAAACCTGCTCCCAGATATAACTCTGCAGTACCTTAATCAAAATATGCAGCCTCCCCCTGCTTGTATACTGCACAGCTAAGCACAGAACTTCGTATTTTATTTTAGTTACTTTGCCAAGGAAATCTGCTCCAATTTACATTCTTGAGCTATCTTTCTTTTCCTGTGTATTTAAATATATAAATCATCGTAAATCAATGCAGAATTTGTCCAACTTATTTTGACAAGAAAAAAAAAAAAAAAAAAGAAAGAAAAAAAAAGAAAACAACTCCGTACAGTGAATAACTGAAAGATTTTGGAATTAGGCACCTATTTGCCTGTTCCAGGGCAATTCAAGTGCCTAAACAGTTATCTAGTGCTACTTTAGGAGCCCTAGGTATCCTGCCTAACCTTCTGCTGCCACCCAAAAGGGCAATGGATTTTCCATAGATCCTGTATCATATCTGCCAGCCACAGGCATCTGAATTATCTAACTATTAGACACCCAAATTGCTAAAGTCCTATTGAAATCTTTCTCAGCTAAAACTCTCACTGATTTCAATGACACCAATCCCATGGCAACACTAAAAGCAGAACTCCTCCGTCAAAGTTACTCAATCTGCGAAGCTGAGAAAATAACAACTTACTGCACTTTCAAGACATGTTATGAATATTAATTTGCACACTGAGGCAAGCATGTCAAACATCGTTGTCTTCCATTTCTGCATTTCTTCTTCTATTTGACTAACAGGGAGTTTTATGCTGCTGGTTCCCCTTTCCCTCACTGCAACCTTGCACCAGTGTAATGGATGTCTATGGAACTCTCTTCTGCTTATGCCAGAACAGAGATTCAATCAGTATAGCCCTTCCCCTTACATCTTTGATCTTACCCTGATTAAATCACAGACAATTATCCAAAAGCACTATTTGCCTCCATGTTTTTTGTTTGTTTGTTTCATTTAAAAGATCAACTTTTACTATGTTCAATAATATAGCCTTGATTCTTTGCTCACTAATACCAGTGTGCTAATGAAAGTTCACAATGTGATGTCAAGCAACTGAAGGAACTGGGGCTGTTCAGTCTGGGGAAAGGAGGCTGAGGGGAGACCTTACTGCTCTCTTCCGGTATCTGAAAGGTGCTTACACAGAGAGTGGGATTTTTCTCTTCTCACTGGTGACAGGTGACAGGATAAGTTGAAATGGCTTCAAGTTGTGCCAGGATAAGTTTAGGTTGGATATCAGGAAACATTTCTTTACAGAAAGGGTTGTTAAGCACTGGAAGAGGCTCCCCGGGGAGGTGGTTGAGTCACCATCCTTGGATGTGTTTAAAAACTGTTTGGACATGGTGCTCAGGGACATGATTTAGTGGAGGGTTGTTAGAGTTAGGCTAATTTGGTTAGGTTGCATTTGGACTTCATGATCTTCAAGGACTTTTCCAACCTGAGCAATTCTACGATTCTATGATTCTGTGTCCTCAGCTAGGATAAATAAATATTCTGTAGACTGGGACAAGTAACATGTAATCTTTTAAGTACCAATTATTACTTCTAGCTGCCATTTTTGCCTATTTTACTTTAACGTATTTTTAAAATAAATAAATAAAAGACAGGAGAGGACTTTCCGTATCTATTTCTTCTGGGGAAAGAAGAATGACTGTTGGTTACATCAAGCATATTTCAGCCACCCACACATTCGCTTTAGCTTAATGCACAGCAATACTTATTCATAACTGAATCGGCTCTTCATTTTCAAAAGTTTAACTGTTCTTTTACTACATCAGTATCTCTCCACTTCTCCTTAATGGAATCTATATGCTGTGTTTTTATGTACTGTTTCTCTGTATCAATATCTATGTCTCTGTAGGGTTTTAGTTATTGTCAGTGTTAGAAGAGTGGCAATATTTCCTGTTTATACCACATTCATCCAAGCTGATCATTTAAATACATGCATTATTCTTCCACAGATCAACAGTGCTGGTGTCAGATACCTTCTGCATTTGAATACCGTAATGCCGTTGGTTAAGCCACATAACAGATGTGCATTTGAGCATCTCAGCAGCCTCCATGAACAAAATCCTGCTTCTTCCAACAGGTAATGACCAACAGTTATCTTTACAATTTTCAGAAAGCCATGACAGACATTTTAGGGCAGACTCTCAGCTGCTATTAACCAGCTCAGCCCAAGTAAGGGAGAAACAACTCTTAATACTGCCAGGACCATGAGGCATCTACCATTACCAAGTATTGCCAACACACTAAACCTGATTTTTTAGTTCATACAGGGGGTTTATGCTGTGGGGGAAAAATATGTTTTGAAAAGAACAGACTACAGTGTGTAGTATTTTACAGTGCGTTGAGAGTGTATCAGGATGTAAGAACTTGAAGTTTTTTTCCAGAAGTTGATAAAGGTGGGAATGCTTTTGATGGCTTCATAAAATCTGCACCACTCTTTTCCAAGTGCAGACAAAACTGTGTTTGAGGGATAGTTTAGGAAAATTTAAATTTGACAGTAGCTAACAGGAGAATTCCCATGCAGTATACAGGAACCCCACATTTCTGAGCCATACTTGGAATGTCAGCTAAAAAAAAAACAATACATTTAGAATTATTTCTGCACTTGGAGGCTTTTAATTGTTTGTTTTGCAGTCTAATAAATCAGAACAGGGTTAGTTTTAAAAACCTTCTGTGTAATTGCATTGTAGAAGAATTCAGCGCAAGCAGATAAGTAGATAAGCACTGTAAGGAAAAACAAACCGTGTCAGATTAAAGCATCTGACATCCACAAAAGGTATTAATTTTTTAACAAGTAATATCAATAAAAAGATTGCAGCGGGAAGGAACAAAATTCAAAAGAATCACAGATCCCAAGTACTTTAAAAAATACTTGATTTTGGACATCATAATTAAGAAATTAAGTTATCTTCAGAGTGACCTGGTTTTAACAAATGGCAAATACATACTTCTTTGAAAGTAGCCATTCCTACATGATTTCATACTGGACACAGAAGAAAAAAAAAAAAAAAGAAAAAAAACCCACAATTTTATGGAAGGTTCAACACTAAACACAGTTTGAGGTCACAGTTATTGTTTCTGGTTGTCCTGTCAAGCCCTTATATGGCTCTCATCATTGCTTTGTGCTATTTCTTCATATAGAAAAAGAGAGCTAACAGTGTTTCCTCACCTCACTGGAGTGCCACGAAACAGCCAACAGCTGCATTTAGCACACTTTGATGCCTTTCAAGGCAAGGTGAGAAGGCAGAGCAAGGGTTCATCCTGTCTTATCATTACATATAGTGTAACAGAATTCAACCAGAGCCAATATACCACTACAGCCAATATACCACTGCTATACCACTATGTGTACCAAAACATCAACAGCAAAACTACTAAATATTTTCCTTCCTTTGATTCCAGAATGATATAATCTAAGTCATGCACAGATAAAAATACATCTTTTTCCATCTGAAAATCCTTTAAAATTGTTCAGTAAGAGAGGCATCACAGGAAAGAAAAATAATTAATAATCCATTGTGCTTGCATCTTTATGTCTTTTTTTCTGCATTTAGGGGTTCTGTATGGTATTTGATTCTATACTACATCAAATGAAGGTTACAGAGATGGCTACTACATTTATGATCAATAGAAAATTGCAAATTTTTTCTCCCAACCAATTCTTTCCAATGATCCAGCAAAACACATCAATAAAAAGCTCTGAAATGATGCTGCTTCCCTATTTCATGCCCTGTTTAAGTTCCCTGGGGATGACAGATTAATTTAATTAGTTTTATTGAGTTGCCTAGTTGCTTTTATTGGCAAATCCACTCATACAAAGAAGGCTGCAAATTTCTCTTGGGGTTATCATTGTCCTACTGGTCCATTTTTTTTTTAAATTAAAGTGAATTTACTGTCATTTCTTAAATAGTTTTCTGCCACGCTTTTTGTGGTTAGACCCAAATTTGTAAAGTGCCTTTACTGACACTTATCTCGGAAGTTTAAAGGTGTTGTTTTTTCTTATCACGGTTAAAAAAAGGAAGCAGATAGCTACCATCAAATGGACTGTGAACTAAATACATCAGGAGCTTTCACTGGGGAATTAAATTAATTTGATCCGAACATAGAAGATAGCTCTTGCACTCCACCTGGAAGCAGAGAGATTGTCGGCCACTGTCCAGCTTCCTCTGCCTGACAGCCTGCTGTGTCCAGAAGCATTAAAAGAGCAGCAGTGGGGCTAGAAAGTATACATCCAAGGTTCAGTTTACCTGGAAATGGGTCTGATCAAAGCCCTCAACACTGAGCCAAGTAGGGTGAAGTACATGAAATAGAGCAAACTTAACAGCAGCAATGGTCTGAACTTAATCGCAGTGGTCAAGCAGCCAGAAGCATGGAAAAACTGTGAAGCAAAGCTTGAGTTCGGCTAAGAATTTTATTCTAGCAATAGCTTCTTATTCTACCAGCTGGCTGATTCAGAATTATATAGATATATATAAAGACATTTAAGTAAGAAATGAGTAACTTAAAATCTAGATGATTCTTTTTTTTGGTAAAAGATCAAAGGAGACACTTTGTGTTTGAATGAATTTCCCAGTCTCTCTCTGAGTTTAAGAAAAAGAAGCAAATGCTGCCTTCTAATTTTGGACACCAAATTCTTTCCATTAAACTTCCAACTCACTTTATAAGACCAGACAGAGTCTTTTGCCCCATGCAGTAATTTTTTAAAAAATCACAGATCAGACAAATTCTCACTGAAATAGATCCAAAATTGTTCTAGCATTTAGTTTTGAAGAGATGACTCATGAGCCAACCCTACAGAAAACAGCATCATGAATTCCTTTGTAAATCCAACATTCATGAGGCTTCTTTAACTGTACTGTCAAGACATCATTCATGATTTTTTGTTGGATTTAAACATCATAGCAGAGCTGTACAACCCCAGAAAAATGCTAGTTAGCTGTTATGAAACCTTTTCTACTCAAAGCTAAAGGAATAACAAAAAACAAACATGTTAACTTGGCATAAACATAAGAGCATTTAGTGCTTCTACAAGCAATACTAATGAACATATTAAAATAATCAACAAAATAATTTCTCTTACCAATATCATCAGTAGGATTTGAACAAAAGAGGTGGTCTTTCTTCTGCAGATACTTAAAACTCTTAAAAATCTTAATAGAGTATGAAAAGTTTCAGTTTTCTAGGCCTGTGCTCTAATTACTGATTTGTATTACGATGGGTTCACCATCCCTTTCAACTATTTATTCATTTTAATATCATCTTTTTAATAAAAAAACACCCTTTGGATGCCATACACAGGAAAAGGGACTTTTTAGCAGCCCTGCCCTCAAATGTCTTTCCGCTACATGGCCAATAAAAATTATTAAAATTCTTTCCAGTCATGTAGAGAGTGCTGCCATACTTTTATAGATATTATGCACTTACAATCGATCAAGTTCTGTTGGAAAATATATCTTTAAAATGCTCAGCTCAAGGTTCTTACACATCATTCAAGTAAGTTAATCCATGTTCTATCATTATTAGATCTGGTAGAAGTGAAGGAAAAGCCTTACAGTATAATTTACTGTCTATTAGTCTATAAAATTCTGCCACATCAGCAAGCACACTTTAAAACAAATAGACTTTGAGTCACTGCGTTTTTAACAGTGCCAAAATGAGGAAGACTAAATTCCTATATCAAAGATACAATTTTATGGTCCCATGAAGTTTAAATCACATATATATCACTAAATAAGTTACATAGGATTTAGAAGGATTTATTTTGACTCCAAATCTTGTTCTATTCAAGCTAAAAGGAGTATTTTCTCAAATATCATAATGAAGAATTTGATCTCATTTCATGTTGTACAGAGAAGCAAAAGGTAATATCACATTCAGATATAAAAAAACAACATTCTAAACATAAGATTGCCTTTAATAGGCTATTAGCAACCCTTAAAAATCCAGCAAAAGGCAGGCTTGCAAGAATTCATTAATATTCGGTTTCCCACGTTTACAAGAATTGAACTGTTCTGTCAGAAGAAGACCCTAATGTGTCCACAAGGGCTTAGTCTAGCCTAACATTTTACAGTCTCAAAAGGGGTCTGTCTAGATAGCCCAGAGCAGTCAGTGATGCTTGGATTTTGTATTCATGGTAATATACATATATTTTTTTAGTTTTATTGTGTGTAAATTTAATTAATGAAGAAAAATTACATATTAGTTAGGGAACCAGCTTCTTATGAGATGCTTGCAAGAGTAACACAGAAACTTCTGGTGAAAACATCCCTGCAACCCAACTAGGGAGCTAGTACAAATTTATGTACAAGTGAAAGTCACCTTATACAAATACAGTACTCTGAAATCAGTGGAATCCAATGAGTTCTATTTCTTTCTTCTGTTTGCAATGCTACAACCTAATTTACAAACATAACTGAATAGCTTTGGTTATTTGTGTACACAGACATATCTCTATATCTAATGAGACAGGACTGCAAATTCTAACACTAATGCTCATTGTATGAAGATGCAGTGTGGATCTACACTACTATCAGGCCAAATTCAGAAAGATAATCTGTAAATGGACAGCTTTTATTAGACAGTGACCACAAATGTACCTCCACAGTGAATATCTGAACTTATGACATGAAAGTGAACATTTCTGGAGCCTATCAACAGATAGTCTTATTAAGCTATTACAGTTGCTTTTTTGAATTATTTTTTTAAAGCCAAATGACTTATTTTTCAAGTGCAAAATTGAAAAACTAAGAATGTGATATTTTGCACAGTGTTTTTGCACTGTTCTGATGCTAAAATACCTTGTGCCTTACGTAGAATTTCTACAGGTCATTAGTTTTATAATGCAAACCAACACCTTTGGGTATTTTTAAAGGAAAATGAAGACAGGAGAAAAACAACCTGCGTTATTGTGTTTACACCAGCATAGGAAGCTACATTTCTAAGCATTTGACTCAGTTAAAACTCTACCTTTGATATACTAAGTTTTAGTGGCAGATGCTGTAGTGACAATGAAAGTGACTGAAATACACGCTGAAGCTTTTTGCAAGTAGCATCATGATATGTAGCATGCTTCTAAGACAGGACCTATCCCCAGTGCATCAATCATACATAAAGACCAGAAGCTAATTTTCAATCCTCTTATCTCACCTCCCAGTGCCTCCTTTCTCTTCTATTTTTTATTGGAATGAGAGACAGAAGGCTGCCACAAGATTATTTCTGAGGCAGTTTTGACTCCCCCTCTGGTTTTCTGCTCAGTGCCTCTGACTGACACTTAGTTCTGCCTGAAGGACAAGTACAGGCCAGACTTCTGAATGCCAGTCAGCGGAGCATGCCACACAGTGTAATTGGAAAACACAGTACTTCCGCAATAAGATGAGGATATTATTAGTGCAAAGTTGTAGTAAAAAGAATTGTAACTGAGTAGTATGTAACTCTCAGTTATTTTTACTGCACCTGAAAGAACAGCCAGAATAAGCGAACCTGAGCTGCAAAATTGGGATACAAATTTAAACTTCCTGTAACACTCAGATCAAAATTAAGCTCCACCCCTTTATTTTATCTGTAAAGCAGAAGACCTTTTCAACCTAATTATCTTAATATGATATCCCTTCATCCAAGTTATTTGTAGAGCCAGTTTTATGCTTATCATAATATAGCACAGAAAGCCATCACTATTAAAACAATGAAACTATCCAAGCTGCACACATCTTAGGCCACTGTGTACTACAAAGAATTTTCCGTAGCTGCTTCTTTTATGCACAGTTCCCTAGCAAAATGACATGGGACTTACATAAGGAAAGCCTAGCCTTCCACATATTGCCTCCCACAATATTCCTAAAGAAAGCAAACCACCTGTAAGTGTGTGAACCAGACTAAGGAAAGCTGTCATTAGGGATTTCACTGCTGTTAGGAGAAATAAAAGCATCAGAAGCTAAACTCTAAATACTACTGCTGCACTTCTTACCATCCTTTCAGGCTGCAATTTCTAGTGGGAGATTTGGGATGTACATACCTTTCAAAAGGTAAGTGAATGTGCTAAGAAACTCTTCGTATGACTGCTCATGGCTGTTAATAAATTGATCAAGGATGCAGTTGTTTATCAGTTGTTCTTCCATAATCCACACCTTGCCAGTCAAATAGGTATGTCTGGGTTAGTAGGCTTCTCCTGCAATAAAAAAAAGAACCATGTGTATCTGTAGGCAGCAAAGATATGAACTGAAGAGTCCCTAACCCACATTTATAACCCCCAGAATGTCATTTTTTTCTTCACTCCTTGTGAAGTCCAAGTCTCTTCAGTGGGACTATGTACCACGTTTCCCCTGAACTCAAGGGCATGTAGTAACTTAAAGTACAAAGAGAGAAAGTGTGAAGATGTATGCCTGAAATTTATGCTCTCGGATAAAATGGGCCACATAAGAGCCAGATTCTCTCAGTGGGGTTCCTTCCCCTCACTTTGAGTTGTTAGTCTTCAGATCTGTCAGACCCCCGCCTTCTTTGCAGAAACAGTGACACCACTCACTAGCTTGCTGGATCTTGCAAGTAGGACACCTGTACACTCAAAACTTGGACCAAATCCATCATTTTGCAGGTGCACAGCTCACTATACCATCAAAGCCACAAAACCCAGATTGTGTAGGGCACGTGAAATCACAATGTGCATGCGCACACTGAGGCAGCACACAGGACAGGGAGAGTATGGTAGAACTGGGCAGCCATATAGGAAAGCAAGGACCCTGTCTTGACAGGGGAACAAATGCTGAGAGCTGCAGAAACACCACACGTTATTTTCTTGTGTAAATACATTTTAACAGCTGTGTGATATTAAATAGTTAATAATATTACTAATTCTTTGTACATGTGGGACTGGAGTACTAGCAGTAGGATGACACAGGTGGGGGCACAGACATACAGAGCTGCCACTCTCTCCCACAGTAGCAACCATACTAGAAAACAATCAGTTTACAGACATAAATGTAATAAGGACACAGGAATGCATTATTCACCTACTGCTTGATTTTCACACATTCCCATGCATCTTCCCTCAATTTACTGCAGCACTAGAAACCATCTTTTGGGAATGAAACCTCAGTTCTTCTGCAAAACTTCAAACCTATCTTCAAATACACCAAGGAAGGACTGCCAACCTGATTTTATAATTAATAAGAGTAAGCAAGAATTGTTACAAGCTCGGAATGAAAATACAGCATCATTTCTAATGTCAAACTCTAATATTGCTGGATTGTCAGCTTGTAAAGAAGGCAGATGTTCCAAGGATGTGAAAACACCTGCATACCTACACAAGCTGAAGCTGGAGTTCACTAATGTTTTGCAAAGTCAAACACATATTAATCTCTGTGGACTGACCAAGAAGAATATCATTTACCAGACTCTCAGAATGGTTTTTGCAAATTATGGTGGTTTCAGAGGGAAGCAATGCCATTCCTCATTATTGTTCAGTTATTACAGTCATTATTTGAGGTAAATTTCATTATATGAAACACTGCAGTGATTTGGAAAGCCAGTGTCAAAGGAAAAAATATACATACATATATTTAATACGGTAATAACAAATTTTTGTATTTCTCTGGCATTGATGATCTCCAAGTCCTTATAAATACTAATGAAATAAACTCCACAATGGTCTCATGAAGCAGAACAAGCACATATTATACCCAATCATAGATTAGCAAAACTGAGTCACAGAGAGTTTGACTGACTTATTAACAAATCAGAGGAGGGCTGGCATCAAAGATTCCTTTACTCTAAAATGCTCTAATAAGATAGAAAATTGATAAGCCATTTGGGGGATGACATTTGTATAATTAACCAAGCTAAACAGAAGCTGTCTCAGTGAATGCTGTGTTCTGCAGCCACCCAGACACCCGGTCATCAGCTTGAGAATAAGTACCCAGAGCAGGCATCTGCATTTTGCTATAGCTCAGTTCTTACTTCATTAGAACTCAGGAAACCACTTCAAGTTTTACCATCCTGTACTGATCAAGCTGTGGAGGAGCAATAGTACAACAGGACCCTGGAGGAATACCAGCTTTTGGTCATTATTGTTAGCTAGGGTGCAATGCTGAATTCAACTTGACAAAATTTCAGCCATATTGCAATAGTGAAAACCAGAAAGTTAACATCATGAAAAAGCCATCGTTGGATATTGTTAGAATATAATCCAATATTTTATACCTGAATCCTCCTGATATAGTCTAAAAACGAAGTTATCCCTAAAGGTTTTAAACATACATTACACTGATCCTATGCATTTTCATCTAGCATGTACTTCAATATGTATGTATTGGGAAAAGCTTCACCAAAAGAGTAATCTTCTTTTAAAAACAGTGGAGAAAATGTCCTGGATAGTTCAAGCATAGGAGAAGATGGGCAGCATTCTTTACTGAAATACAGACCAATTTTTTGTCCAATACAAAGCAGCATATCCAGAGTAGTTCTGCTACAGCCAAGATAGCTATTGTTGGCTGACACTCATATATTGAGAGCTGTTACCAACTGTGTCAATGCCATTCACCATTGTTAGGGAAATAACTTATAATTCACAGGTGACATTTCTTTTTTTCTTCTTCTGAAAAACACAAAGAATATATTAGGTAACCTGAGTTCTCTGAATTATTCATATTTTAACAAATCCTATATTGGAAAAGAGGGGAGAAAACCCTATCTGTTTATTTTATCTCCACTGCTTTTTATGAGAACATCACAGTTCTGTTCAAAAAAATCTAAAGCAAGAAATGAATAAAAAAATGGAATACAGAAGTAATAATACAACACATATTCAATCTTTCCTTGCACAGCTACAGAGCTGCAAATTAAGTCTACAGAATCAGGACACCACCGGTACGAAGAACCTGTTAGGTTCAAATGCAAGCTTAGGTTCTTTCTGAAGAACCCTTCTTCACCCAACCAATAGAGAGGAGCCATACCTACGTGTTCCACTTATTTCCAACTACTTTGAAGAACTGCACAGTCTGATTCTAGCAGCCTAAATAAAAGCACAGATGTCAGCATTCGCAGTACACATTCCTGAAATTGAACATGTGGTTAGGATGGATGATACCATTACAAGGTGTTCAGAAACTGAGCTCAACCTATCAGAGTTTTTTGTATTTTTCATTTTTATTTCACTTTGGTTTTCTGCTGTTTCCCACTTACTTTATTACTGGGCCTTTCTTAAACGAACTCCACAATGTGTCAGCTGCAGAGATGTTTTGCAGTGTAAACAATTGAAACCAGGCTGACCAAAAGACTCTCAAGAGGAAGAAAAAATAACATAGGCTATCTTAACTTACGGTAATGGATTGGAATAAACCCACCAGTTAAGGATTGGATACACTCTTACCTCTAAGAATGAAATGTCCACATTGTTCAGATGGAGAGTAACTACTACTCTCTTTTGAGTAACTCTTTACTCTTTTGAAACCAAAACTGTCCTTTTTTTTCCAAAAGGGCATCAAACTAACTCAAGAGTCAAAGAAAGTAAGGCAAAGACATCTGATTCTCTCCCTGTGCTGGCTTTGAATAGTTAAATTTGGACTCAAATATTAGTAAGAGATTCATTTAAGCAGCAACTATTATTTCTTCTTTTCGCATCTCAATCCTGCTCATTCATCCAAATTACTATAATGAGGATTCTTGAGGCAATCATTCATTTAGTCTTGCTGATCATCAGCAGATTGTGCAAAATCAATTTTATTTCTCAAAATGCTGCCTTCTTCACAGCAGTTTAAGCCAAACCAGAAATCTCTGCACTGAATCACAGAGCAAATCAAGTGAATATTAGCATGATTTCAATTACGCAGTTATTAGTTCCATTAAACAATTTCTAAAGTGCAGTGGAATATGGTTTTCCTGCATTTTTGAGTACTCCAAAACTTCTGGTGGTTATCAGGCTGCCACACTATGAACTTGCATTCTCAATTAAAATAAGGATATTCAGAAATACTGTGATAAATTGTGGGCTCACGGAAATTATCACTAAATACACCTGTGCTCAAGATTTTATGAACTATGTACAAATCAGATCAAATACAAATTTATAATTTTCACATCTTATATGCTGTTACCATTGGACTATGCCTGATCTTTTAGTCATGTACAGCCAGTGCAGGACACAATTTGTCACAACTAACCTTTTCCAAAGGAGCCTCTAATACTTAAGATCTAACTAACACCTCATAAATGCAATCTTACTCTTTTACAAACCACAATACAGAACAAAGCAGCAAACATTTCTCTAGCAGCTCTTGTTCTCAAAGGTTTCATATACTGAGCTGCACTAGAAAGACCTTAATTTTAGGGACTCCTTTGGCCAGGCTACTTCAGCAAGGAGGCATGGAAAGCTGCAATGTCACAGTGTCCTCAAATGTTTTTGGTTGCATATGGACATAATACAAGCATCCCAGGATGACACTTCAAAAGCGGGCCAAGGGAAAGGAGTGATCCTGCAGGCTCTTGACTGCACTGAGGAAGGCATAAAACATTTGTAGTGGTGCAGAACAGAAGGTTACCTACTCTCCAGAAGGCAGTCAGCTGTTTCCTTGCTGGCTAAACAGCTGCAGAGCTACGGTTGCAGAAGAAAACCTCTTGCCCACAGTCCTGCCCTACTTCTCTTCCCCCCACCCATCCACCCTGACAGCAGAAACCCCTGGCCACCACCAGCTGCAGGGCACAACAGCCACAGGAATGAGCTAGAAACAAAAGTTTCAATTATAAAGCACAAAAACTTTCAAATGATGCTTCTTGCAGCACCTCTCAATTCAGGGCGATGTGCAGCAGCTAATCCTATTTAAATCAGCTGGATGGTTGCCACTGCCTTCAGCAGGAGAAGGTCTTAAGGGTGCACACATAATGCATCAGCAATTTGCTTGAATGGGAGCTGCATCTGCTTATGTAAGTGCATTACCAAGCCTCAGAGTCGACCTTCCTGATGGTCAAAAACACACAGCTTGCAGAGGGTTTTACAGAATGTGTAAGAGCTTTAATTGCAAGTAAACACATTGATCCTGCTCGGTTTCAGTGCTATTCTGTTAGTCCCATACACGATCAGAGGATTTAGGTTTCTGTTGTTGTTGTTGTGTTGGGGGTTTTTTTGGTTGTTTGATTATTATTGTTTTTATGAATTCCCAATTGCTTCACAAGTGACATGCACTTCAAAGACCACCTAGAGACCTTTGACAGAGGGTAACATCTCCTGTGCCCAAACACTTCTGAAGCACAGTAGCCACCGCCCCCTGCAGTGTGATCTTCCAGTATGTTACCATCAAAGCAGGGCTCGATGTAATCACCTGTTTTAAACCAACCCTACAGATAAAGCTCTGTAACTCATATGTTAAACACTGTTTACTGATGGTTTTGGATGAGACAGAACACTGAAGACTTTGGGACGCTGGACTCCCCATGCCTTCCTTCCTCTACAAGTTTGAGCCCTGGGTTTTGGCTAAATATCTAGCCACATATTTGCATCCTGGATGGCTGCTTCCACAAACAAGTAGGATGGCATCCCCTGTATTGCCTCCCTGAAGTGTGTTGCTGTAATCCACGGAGAGCCATCTCCACTCCTGAAGGATGAAGGTTTAGTGGCAGATAATATAATGACAGGTGTGGAAATATCTCAGTACAACTTGGAATGACTTGGGTGTTGCAGTCGCCTACTACACTTGGAATGAAAATGTAAATCATATATTACCTAATTAAGTGTAGTAGGAAAAAATGAAATGCAACAAAGTATCTCCATGACAATGAGCAATCTGCTGAAAACATAGCATGTCAACGTTGTTAAAATAGAAAATTGCAAAGAAGTCTATTGATTCATTTTCACCTTGGTTCTCTGCCAAATAATTTCAAGTTGCAAACCCTAGATATTCCTGCTGTGAACTGCACAGTTCTGAACATGATTTTTCTTTGTAGATATGTTATTCCAAAGCTACTGGCTGCTTGCAGCTCTTCCAAAGCAGTTTGTCACTGACAGTTACAGAAGACCATTTTGGACAGAACACATCCTCATCCAAAACCAACATGATGTTGCCAACAAACTTTAATTTCTCTGTTTTCTCATCCACAGTAATTAGAAAAAGAATTTCTAGAGATAAGACAAATCAAGTAGCAAAAGGAGAATGAAATGAATATAAAATATTAAACAAGACAAGTGGAGGTTGGATTTTATCTTAAATATTTGTATCTCTTTTGCCAGTAGATCTTTTGATCTCAGATCCAAACAAGGGTTTGACTATGCGAAGCGCTCGATACAAATCTGTCAAACATCATCTAAGCACTACTGAAAATACCAATACATCTGATCTGAATATCCTTAAGTTATGGGCGAAGCTAAGTACTCTGGCCTTGAACTTTGCAGTATGTTTTCCTTTATACTTTGTTTTGCTAGAGAACTAATAGACCCATGTGGACAATACAGGGCACAGTGCCTTGCAACTGCTATATTTCAAATGAGAAACTCTACCACATCCTAGCTGCATTACAGTTTTTCAATGTCTCAAGGTGATTTTTCACAAACATTGGGTGTGTTTGCTTTCCTGTACAAACCAAATTCCACTACAAGCTGTTCTTATTTCTGTTCTCCCTGCAGTTTCAAATGGGAGATGGAGCATTTCTAAAATACTGCGTGGCAGATGTTGTAACTCAGGAGTGAGTGAGGTTCAAGGAAACAGAAGCAAAGAGCTATGAAGAGTGAATTGTTTTCTTGGTTCTTCAGTTTACTTGCTGTGCTATGTTATACAAGTGGTTTATCCTCTGTGCCCCAGTACTGCTGCCTGCTGAAAGGATATGTTCCCATAGCACTTTGCAGAGTCTAACTTGAAGAAAAGCTCTGTGAATCTGATGAAAAATGCACAGAAGGGAGAAAAGTTTTCATTCTTTAAGATCTAATCAGAGGGTCACTGACTTCAGTGGACTTTGGACTGGAAATTCAGTCCTCACTCATTCTTTTACTACACATAGAAATTAGTATACCTTTGAACACACACGCAAAAAAAATTACTTCAGCTTGTATTTTACAGTACACTGGCACTAAAAAAATTCCAAAAATGATCACAAGCTTGATGGATTAAGCAGAGTGAAGAATTAAGCTACAAAAAAGTGCATGCTCCGAGCTTTAACAATTGTTCGACTAGTTCAGCTGCAAAGCTCCCAAAGGCTGGTGGGTTTCTTGTTGTGCCATCTGAAGACAAGAGAGGAAAGGAAAAAGAAAAAAAAAAGAAAGAAAAAAAAAAACGGTCACAGCCAGTTAGCCACAGTAGACTGAGTTCTCAGGAACACATCTGCAAATTGAGCAGATAGATTCCCCTCCATGCCACAAGCCCCTGTGCTGTCAGAGAAGATTCCTCAAAGTGCTCACATTTGAATCTCAATTACAGAGAAAGATTTTGGAAGACACAAAAGCACTCCATCAGCCAGGTACGTCTGACTTATTGTTTTACCCAGAGCAAGCTTGGTTGATGCACGTATGAAATTTTTTAAATACTATTTCTCAAAACAATTGCTTTCTTAATCCTCTTTATGGAGTACTTCAAAGCTCTGCAGGTGTCTGGATATTATCTCAATTCTGAAGAATTTGGAAAGAGCACTTGCTCGCTGCTTTGCAAAAGGAGACCCTGCAGATCAGTCAGAGGAAAAGAAAAAATATATAATATTGCAAAACAAATTTAAATGTACTGTAGATAACTGTGTTCCTGCCAAGTTGCAAATAATTACAAACTAATGACAGAATCTGATGGTCAGCAAGCAGCATTTACCAACTAAGACTTCACGCTATCATGCAATCTGTTTTCTCTCCATGTCTAATCAGTGCTGTTCAAATACCTTATTTTATAACTGAAAGGTGCTTTTGGTTTGCTGCAGTTCCTAAGATCTAATCATTCACTATTTGGCAACATTCCAATTACTGTGAAATTAACATGAATATGGGTGTTGTTTTGGAGGTTTTTTTATGTCATGTTAGTAATAGCTTGGAAATGGAAATCAGCACAGCCCAAGATCAGCCACACAACGTGAACACACTTTAAGTAGCACGGAACAACCCAGAAAGACAAAACAATCCCAGCAAGGGCCTAAGGAACTACTGCTGTCACAGAACCCAGGATAAAGATTCTCTCCTTCGCTTACCGAACTGATTACTTATTTAAAGCCCAAGGAATATTAAGCAGTGACAAGAAGGAAACGCTTTTAAGTGTGTTTTATTTAACCAGTACATTCTGTATATGTATCAATCTCATTTTTATCTTAATTATCCTGATTGGTCTTTTCTCCACTCTATCTCCAACAGTTTCTCTGGATAGTATATACTTAAGAACTCGACACTGTCAACATGTTGATTAAACTATCTGCCATTTTAATACTCATTCGATTTCAAAAACAAACCAGTAGGAAAATACCATAATCCTAACTTATTGTGTGCTCATGGCAACCTCAGTATGGAAGTTCATTTACTTTACTAAAGACCATAAAAACAAAGAAGCTATGTAACCACACAATACGAAAGACAGGAAATACAGCCCAGTAAACCCAAATTTACTCCTCTAAAAAGAACATTTTTTAATAGCTGTAAGAAACAAGCAGCAAAGATTTCTGTTTGGCATCTCATCTGAATGTAAACAATTTGGCAAATTTCTCTTCAAGCAAATTTGAAGTAGCTAGCATCATCAGTCCCACAAATCAGCCCCACCATGAATCTTGCTGTAAGTGCTGCTCTTCTGGAATCCCCAGATTTTGATGGCACACCGCTAGACGATACTCATCCTTCCTTAAAGAAGGAATCCTCTGTTTCTTGCTTTTGCTATTACAGCAAAATAAAAACCAGGCACAACAAAAACATAAATCCTAAAGAATTCATAAAGAGAAACTGTATTTCAAAAGTCTTTTGGCAGGGCTTTTTCTTCAAATTCTGCACTTTGAAGCTAGCTCACAGCTTTAAATTACGCAGGTTTGGCAAAGGCTGCACCCAAGCACTGGGCAGTGACTGAAAGGCACAGCTCTGCTGTCACTACAGACTGGTCAGTTGGTTTCCTCCCTGGCATCTTTGCTCTCCCGAGCAGTGTTACTGCGCAGGCTGACTGCATTAACTACTGCAGATTTTCGGACAAACATGTTTAAAAAAAAAAAAAAAAAAGCTTGGAACGTACTCATGAAAGCATACATGACAAATCCAAGCTGCATTCCCCAAGATGAACATGACGGCAAGACAAAAGCATGGGGCAGTCAGCCCATCGATCCTAAACAGAGCCAGCAGCGTGCGGCACTAACACGGTTAGAAACACGGCTGGCCGCGACTGCTCCACAAGTCTTCCACTAATCTTGACGTCTGCCTTGTAGTCCCGCACGCTGTTCATCTTAAGGAGGCCGGTCCCACTGACCGGGGAGCCCAGGCGAGCACAGCGGAACCCGCGTGTTACGGGCCTCCCCCCCACCGCCCCAGCGCCGCACGCCCCGCACAAGCACCCGCCTTCTGCCAGCAGTCGGCGGCGGGCCCGCCCGCTGACGGCAGCGGTGCGGAAAGGCCCCGGCCCTTGCGGCCCACTCACCGCCCGCGGCCCGCCAGACCCAGGGCGGCCTCGGAGACGAGGCTGGTAGAGCCGCCGAAGGAAAACTACCGGCCCCAGCAAGCCCCGGGGCCGGCGTTTCCATGGGAGCCCCGCGCCCGCAGCGCGGCCTTTAGTGCTCTGCTCGAGTGGAAGCAGTAAGGCTGGCCAGCAGCCACGAAAGCAAGCGTTATGCTTGTAAATATTACTTTTTATTATTTTTTCAAAATTCTGCATAACTGGCATGCAGTTTAAATGATGAGAGAACTGACGTGCAATTTTAATGCCACTTGTTCAAGCAGATACTCTCCGAGTGTTCAAAACATCTTTCTTTTGTGTTGTTTGCCTCAGATACTGCAGGATGACCCAGCCAGCAGATGCGATGTCACTGCAGATGGTATCGGCTGTCAGCAATTCATCCTTGCTTCAGCCAGGTTCTTCCCTGCTGAATTTTGATGGACACGTCTTCTTTTTTGGGCAGAAAGGATGGCCGAAGAGATCCTGTCCCACGGGTGTTTTCTTCCTTGACATAAAGCAGAATGAGCTCAAAATGAAACCTGCTGCCTTCTCTAGGGATTCCTGTTACCTTCCCCCGCTCCGCTACCCAGCTATTTGCACGCTTAGAAGCGATGGGGAGTCCGATAAGCACCAGTACATTATTCATGGTGGGAAAACACCTAACAATGATCTTTCTGATAAGGTTTACATTATGAAGGTGGTAAACAAAACTACCAAGAAAACCACGTTTCAATGCACTGAGAAAGATCTAGATGGAGATGTCCCTGAAGCTAGATACGGGCATACAATTAATGTAGTTCATAGCCGGGGAAAAAGCATGATTGTTATATTTGGAGGTAGATCATATATTCCTCTTGCACAGAGAATTACTGAAAAATGGAATAGTGTAGTTGACTGTTTGCCATTTGTGTTTCTTGTTGATTTTGAGTTTGGATGCTGTACGTCATACATACTTCCAGAGCTTCAAGATGGACTTTCCTTTCATGTTTCAGTTGCCAGGAATGATACAATCTACATTTTGGGAGGCCATTCACTTCAAAATAACACCCGGCCTCCCAGCCTTTACAAGCTAAAAGTTGATCTCCCTCTGGGCAGCCCAGCTGTGACCTGCTCTATCTTGCCAGGGGGAATATCTGTGTCGAGTGGTATTGTGACTCAGACTGGTGATACTGAATTCGTCCTTGTTGGGGGCTACCAGTCTGACAACCAGAAACGGATGATCTGTAACACTATAATTTTGGAAAATAATAAAATAGAGATTGTTGAAAGGGCAAGCCCAGATTGGACACCCGATATTAAACACTGTAGGATGTGGTTTGGCTGTGATATGGGCAAAGGGTCCATATTGTTGGGTATTCCTGGTGCCAACAAACAGTTAATCTCAGATGCAAACTACTTCTACATTTTGAGATGCAACAGAGCAGACGAGGATGAAGAAGAAGAATTGACATCACAAGCATGCTGTCAGGCATCTACCGAAGACCAAGGAGACTCCACTCCATTTGAAGATTCCGAAGAGTTTTCTTTTAGTGCTGAAGCCAGTAGCTTTGATGTTGATGACATTGATACTTACAATGAAGATGATGAAGAAGATGAATCAGAAACAGGGTACTGGATCATCTGCTGTGCCAGCTGCAATATTGACATTAACACCTGGGTGCCTTTCTATTCAACAGAACTCAACAAGCCTGCAATGATTTTGTGTTCCAGTGGGTCTGGCCATTGGGTTCATGCACAGTGTATGGATCTGTCAGAGAGCATGCTCCTTCGGCTCTCCGAAGCAAATGTCAAGTACTTCTGCAATGAGCATGTTGACCTTAATAAAGGGCTGCAAACTCCCCAAAAGGTGGTGCGTCTGAAAAAGCAACCCATGAAACGACTGCACAAAAAGAAAACCATGAAGTTAACCACACCAGTGAAAAAGTCTTTTCTTCGGAGATTATTTGAATAGATTTGTGCCACTGATTTGTATTCAACTGGGAGACTAAAACAGCTAGCAGTAGTTGAAACCAAATGGGTTACTGAGGTTCCCACTGATCATTTTATTAAATTGATATTATCTCAATATTTCAGTTATATTTCAAAACTCATGAGCATTTTTTGTTTCTTATGTATGTTTTTGTAATATCCATATAGGAAGCTTATCACAGAGGGCATCGTACAAACACACAGCCAGATATTGGTAACTTAGTGCTCTATTTTTTACAGTAGTATAACTTACTCTCCAATCATTCCCAGTAAATGTGGTAGAACTCCTTTAGGAAAAGATGTTATCTCATGTACTCAGTAGTGTTAGCATCTGTCAGTAAACAAAGACCATATTGCCCATTTTAATTTTTTTTTTATCTTAGCGAGTAGTTCTAGAAATATTTGGCCTAATTTATAGCTGCCTTGCTCTGATTTTACGTTAGTGTAATGAGCTAAAATTAGACTAATTAATCTGCTTTTAAATTGAAGTGATTTTTAAGTCCCTTGTGTCAGAAATAATGAAATATTCAGATGCTGAGGGTCAGTTTTCTTCAGGGACTTCCATTACAAAAATCTTTCAAGTATTTAATTCTGGATAATTCATTTTTTATTTTGAAAGGTACTGAATGGTTATGTGTCAGGTTTGGCTATCATTAAGGATTATCACCTCACAGTAAAAGTTAAATTACATTTTTAAACCACTGTGCTCAACAACTGCTTTGCATTTGTATTTTTAAAAATATATATTAGTTGGGTAATAAAAGTTGTAATAAAAATGAGTGGGTTATTTTCACCTGTTCATGGAGTAAATCAAACACTGCAAATCAGAAAGTCTAGGAAAGCACAGTATGTGTGTGTGCTTGGGAAGTGCATCTGGAGTCTGTAAGGGGTCTGGCTTCACAGCTGCCACATGCCGTGAGCTCCCATTGACTTTAGAAGTTCCTTCTGATGAACAGGACTTTTATCATTTACTCCAGGTCTTCCCTCTCACGTTTCTTTCTCTACTCCTGCAGGGTGACTGGGTAGATTGTGACAGTATGAAAGTGCAAGCTGTTGCTCAGGGCAGCTCATTGAGCCAGTGTTGCATCATGAGGGTGAAAACAAATGCAGCTAGCTGCTCAAAGCATGGAGGCAAGATTGGATTCAGATTGAAAAGGACATTGTCAAGGTTGAATAGCCCAAGAGTTTACTAACTTGTTGTGGAGTCTTTTATTGGCTATCTGTAAAGCCTCATCATTTTTTACTTGATTTTTTTATTTTTATTACTGTTCCAAACATCTTTTCAAAAAATCAATACCATCCATTCAACATTCGTGAAGCAACACTAATAGCTCAGTATTCACAGTCCAGTTCTTGTGCTGGAGCCCTGAATAAAAAGGAAAAGCAGCAGGAGCAGCTGTCAGCCATCTGATCAGTATGTGCAGACCCTGAGCAGCCACCCCTTTCAAAAGCAGCCATGTGTTCCCATCAGCACAAATGTGTATGCACAATACTCCCCTTGACACCTTCACGAGTCAACAGAAGAGGATAGTAAAGGGTAACAAGACAAAATTTCCATTTCCAACCACTTATATTCTGATGGAGGTTATAGTGTGGGTAGAATTTGTAAATGGGAAGTAGATCGTCCTGGGACTTGTTTCATCCATTTTTACATTAGTGTAAATCCATAGATTTAAATGGTAGTTTCCTCTTTCCTCAAAATATACTCAGAATAATAAGGCTGTATATTTTTCAAAGGAATAAATAAGAGCTAGAGCCCTTTAAACTGCTGAAATTCAATAGACAATATCCTCTTTTGTAGTTTAGTTATAGATATTACTCAGCCAAATTGTCATTAAAATATACATTCAGCACATGTTACAAGTTTCATTTACATCAACAACAAAAAATCTCCACATTAAAATTAAAGAACATCATCACGACACACACAGGAGGACAATATATGTATTGTCACATTGTCCCACTGTACAGGACTTCTCACAGTTACTTCAGTCCCTGGCAATAGCTGGTTTGCTTTTTGCCTGTTACCCCGTTGCTATCAATATCTTAAATTCTTGAGGAGCCACACTGGGCAACAAATCTGTTTGGTCTATGACTTTTTTAAATGTATGTGTCACTTCATAAGGAGGGAGAAATAGTCAAACTATGTCCCAGCCTTCAGTGAAGGGTAGTAGAACAAGCATTAAATCACATTTCAGAGTTTAGTTTCAGAGAAGAGTAAATCATAGGTAAAGTAAAATATAAAATTCCTAAGGACTCAGCCATAAAGAAGTGCATGACCACTGACCTGTAAAGGAAGATACTTCACATAGCATTCAAGGTTGCAGAAAATATTTAATTATTTGATAATTCTGATGAAGCTTTTGAGGCATGTACTTGTTAGAGCATTGATTGTCTTTAAAACCAGATAATCAATACGTTTCTTTCTCATGCCGGGTAGAATTAGAGGATAAAATTAAGCAGATTTGAGTGCAAAAGTAAATCCCTATTGTGTCAACATCCAACTGACCTGTGTGTTTTGTAACCACAACAAGCAGCATCAGGGTTCCCAGTCACATTTTATTGTTGCTGTTGTTATCATCAGCTTTTAAGATAACAGTATATGGTTTTACTGCTTGTGGAAGGTACTTAAATGCTGAAGTACCTAATTAATCTACAGGAAAGGCAAAGCACAAACTTTAGTGGTAGCACTAAAACATGTGTCATAGTTCAAAGTGACTCATTGCACTAAAAGACCATTGAAAAGAGTGGAAATAATGCTACTGGGAATCCAAAGCAAAAGGAGAAGACTGTGTTCAGATTGAAAAGGAATCTGTAAAGTTATTTACTACCAGATTTACTGCAGTGCAAACAGAAGGACTTGCTTAATTGTAAGGATTGGCAACTCTAGCTCCCTCCATATGTGATTCCTACCCTCTCCCATTTCAAGCAAAACTAACTTCTCAGAATAGCTTGAGAAAACTCCTGTTTTGTGGCTGTATTTGGGCTTTGGAAATTGTCCCTTGTTAACATAAATGCAGGATAAACATTGTAAAAACCTTCTGATTTCTCAAAACATGCATTGGCCACTACGACGTATGCATTGTGATTTCTCTTGTTCAAAATGCCCATCTTCAGAGGAAAAGCTGGGCACTGAAAATACAGCAGTTTCACCTTTTGACACCTCTGCTGGTGTTGCTAGAAAAACTGCTAATTAAATCCTTTCTAAAGTGTCTTTTGGGACTGTGGGCAATATTAAGCTTGATGAAGAAGGTAGAAAATCTCCCATACTAAGGAGTTGGAGCTGATCATTTCTCTGAAAATTATGCTATAGTCAGTCACCTGAAACAGCAGTCTGAAGAACAGTGGTAGTAGACCTCATTATTCTTCATCTGATTCTGATTCTAGTGAGAATATATGGAAAATAAATTTCAGTCAATTATCATGGCCAGTAGGGAGAGGGAGGTGATTGTCCCCCTCTGGCCTGCCCTTGTAAGTCCACATCTGGAGCACTGCATCCAGGCCTGGGGCCCCCAGTACAGGAGGGATGCAGCTCTGTTGGAGTGGGTCCAGAGGAGGGCCAAAAAGAAGATGAAGGCTGGAGCACCTCTCCTGTGAAGAAAGGCGAGGGAGCTGGGCTTGTTTAGCCTGGAGAAGAGAAGGCTACGGGGAGATCTCATGCTGCCTTCCTGTACTTGAAGGGAGCTTACAAGCAGGATGGGAACTAAATATTTACATGGTCTGATAATGACAGGACAAGGGGGAATGGTTTTAAACTACAACAGGGTATATTTAGGTTAGATGTTAGGAAGAATTTTTTTACTCAGAGGGTGATGAGACACTGGAACAGGTTTTCCAGAGAGACTGTGGGTGCCTCATCCCTGGATGCATTCAAGACCAGGTTGGATGGTGCCCTGAGCAGCCTAATCTAATGGCTGGCAATCCTGCCTGTGGCAGGGGGGTAGGAGCTAGATGATCTTTAAAGTCTCCTCCAAACTAAGCCATTTAGTGATTCTATGATTATTACTTTAGGAATAAAGGAATGAAATCATCCCAGTTTACCAGGAAGCTGTCTGGGGGGATTGGTTTTATGTTTTGTTCTGTTTGTTGTTGTTGTTTTAATGACTTCCATTTTTTCCATCCAGAAATTTTTATTCGTGGTCAGCTGAGAGAATTCAGTTGGTTATATAAAGTCTATAAATTAGGTATCTAATTACCTGCTTGCAGCAGGAAATCAGGTAGCTAATAATGTAAATGCTCAATTTGCTCAGCGTTAATTCCACCCATACCAGTTGGTTTAAGTAAGTTACTTGACCCTGACATATCAGTGGAAGGAAAGAAAGACTTTCCTATTTGAAGGAAAACTAAAAATCATGAACTTAAAGATAGATCCAAACTAGCCTTTGCAGCTGCAAAATCTATGATAAGACAAGATTTGATGCAAAGGATGCACAGAAATCAGTAAAGAGGTTTAGTGCAGTAACAAGGACATAATAGACACTGCTGATTTTTAACCAATACTGGGGTAGTGTTTGTAAATGAAGCCAAAGTTATCTACAGACTAAATGAAACTGGTTTTACTTTCCTGTCAAACAGCTGCCTTTAGGGAAAGGTGCAGAAAGGGCTGTGGAGATGCATGGAGCAATCTTCATTTTTGTTAACCTGGTGACCTCAGCACAGGGCTGGAATCCCAGCTGAAGTCTCTGAGTATTAGAACAGTCCAAATAAAAAAATATGCACAGTATAGATGAAAAGTGAGACTGTTATCACAACCTTATGAGCACAGGCAAAATAGTATAAAGAAATACAAATTCAGAAACTTAAATACTTGTAAGACCTTTATTTTAAACAAGTGTTACAAACAAAGAAATAAAGAAACTGTGATACAATAAGAAAAAGTAAAATGATGAAGCTGTGCTGTGAGACAGCACGCAGAACTCAGTGCAGTGAGAAACTGGGATACTGTAAATATCTGAAGTTTGTGTCTGAACTGAGTAAAAGTCAG